GTGATGATCCAAATAAGAAGAAGCTGCGAGATGCCCTTGAGCCCATCTGGAATACAGTCAAGGCAAAATATCGCGAGAACCCAGATATGACGGGCGACGAGCTATACAATATCTCCTGCCAGGTTGCGAAACAGGAGGGTTGGGATTTCGGCGCGGATATTGCGGGCCATCTCGTTGGCTCGTTCCCTCATGAACGCATTCCGCGGGATAGAGTCTCCCTCTATATCGCCAAGGGTAATAATGACTCAATGGGTCTATCGGGCCGCGATGGGTTTAAACGGCACTGGATTTTGGAAATTCATCTTCATGACCGGGCACGCGGGTTTGGTGGCTTCTACGAGCAACTCTTGACGGTAGATTAAGCTGTCTGAAGTGTTTATGTGTACGCAAGTCATACTGCTCGCCCCCGGTGAACGGTGGCCACATGGGATATCTTGCTGATTGCTTTCTTTTCGGGTACACTGCGTATTTGAAGTGACAGGGACGGTTCTCCCATACCTTATTCGAACACGTGAAAGAATCGGGCGCCTTGCTAAGACATCTAGACAATGCATTCGTGATGATTCTATGTACAGTTTTAGGATATGCGAGATTTATAGACAGGCCTGTATTTTAGCCCTCAGCCTCGTAGGAGTTCGACTTGTGCTTGGGCTCAAACTTGAAGGTGTCGGGTGCAGGGCCCAGGAACATTTCACTGTAATGTCGATGAATGGTTAGTTAATGTGGAAAATATGGCCGAGGTGAAAGAAAACTTACGTTATCTTGATCCAGTCTTTGTAGTTGCCACTGCCCATTAGCGTCTCCAACTCATTCCGGCCGCGCCAAGCAGGAGGTCGGTCCTGAATGTTGGGAGGGAGGTACTCCAACAGTCCGATTGGGACATAGCGATAGGCAAAGCTCAACCATTCTAGCAGGAAACGACGGGTTGTTCCAACGCCATGTTCATCAGAACCCCAGGCCTGGAGACCGTACTTGGCGAACTTCTCGATATAAGCCAGACGCTCAGTCGCGGATTTGTCCAAATATTGGCCGGTCTGAATTTCCTCGAAGATCCATGGTTTGATCAAAGCTCCACGGGCCACCATCACCGAGTCCACGCCAGCATTATTTATGTGGTCATCGTAGTCGATATGCGAGTAGCAATCGCCATTTCCAATGAAATAAGTCTTGCCACCATTGGGCATGTGGCGGGCATCCGGTTCACGGATGGTGTCGCTGAGTGCATCGTGCTTCTTGTTCAGGCGCTTGATGAGGGCTGCACAATCTGAGATGTATCCCCAGTCTGCCTGTCGGGTGTAGCGCTGCTGTCTACTACGTCCGTGTAGGGTAATGGCTGCGGCACCCGGGGGGCCAAGGTCCAGAACACTTGACTCGTATCCACCGAGAACCATACGCTCAACCAGCTTCTGAGCAGTAGGCTGGTTGTCCTTGGTTCCCATGCGGATCTTGACGGTAATCGGAATCTCCTGCGAGACAGCGTTCATGCCGCGAATCATCTTCTCCAATTTGGAATGATGATCAAGAAGAGCTGAGCCAGCTCCATCACGGAATACAAGTTCAATGGGGCAACCGCAGTTCAAGTCAATAACGCGCAGGTTGGGTGTAAACTTCGACAACACCTCAGTGGCCTTGAGGGCTTGCCAGGGCTTGTTGGCAGCAATTTGTGCGCCGAACTTGAAGTCCTTGGAGTTATCATAGCCCTGAACTATATTGTCGCCCGGAATGACAGTTGGCGGTGCCATTTCCGACTCGTGCGCCTTTAACAAGGTCCATTCTGACTTCGAGCCTTGGATCAAAGGCATACTCATAGCCATCTCTGAGTATGTGAACTGCGCGCCCAGATCTCCACAGAGTCTTCGGAATGGCATGTTTCCTTGGGTCGTGAGCGGTGCCAGAACGGGTGTCTCCGGTCCAAAGTAAATGCGACGCTTCTCTGACGGCATGAAGGGAGGCTCGAGGAACTGCGCACGGTTCTCCTGCATGTCGATCTTCGCTTGTTCGTTTGGTTCAACAAGCTCGCCCTTCTCACGGGTGGTGGATCGCTGGTGGATCGCCTTCTCCAATTCTGCAGCCACTTGGGTGGCCCATGTGGTGTAGGCGTCGGCGCGAGGGGTTTCCTCGCGCTTTCTCGTAAGCGCAATTTTGTCTTGGTTTGAAATGATGTTGACAATTCCATCGGCTGTTGCATTGGCCACACGAGGCCGAGCTTTCTCCATACGCTCTGCGTCCTCCAACAAGATCAACTCCTTCTTGCCGTCTTCCGTTTCTTTCTCAGTTGAGTGCGAACCAACCATGCGACATTTCCAGCCAGAAGAACATTTTCCTAGCGCTTCGTAGACGGGGCAAATGTTGTTCAAGGTTGTAAGATCCTCGCGCTTATGGTCTTTCAGATAAACACGCAAATCGTGCTCAAATCGGCATTTCTCGCCATACTGGCACTCTCCAGCGGCAAACTCGTTGGCAAACATTCTCGTGCTGCAAAGGCCCTTCGCATCTTTAGATGTACCATAACTGCGATTGGTATTCTGACCCTTCTTCTTCTTCCCCTTGTCCTTCTTTCCACCATCGCGGTCATCACGAGGAGCTGCCTCGGCGGCATCGTCGGGGCTAGTCTCATCTGCAGGGCGAGGCTTCGGTGTGACTTGGATGCGATATCTGAATGGCGAAAATTAGTGTTATGCGATCCTTGAGAAGGAGGCGGACATACTCTGCTTTAATGGGTGCCATTCCTCTATCGCGCATATCTACATGGGCGGGTTTGGATGGTTCATCCAATCGTGCCTTTTTGGCTGGAGGCTCGTCCACGCCCGCCGCACTAGAATCATTTGCGGCGTCGCGCTTCGGGACCTCCATGTCAGGTGCAGCAACGCTAGCCTCGGGGGCTTGAACCTTTGTTGGTTCTGGCTCCATTGTATTTCAGGGGGAAGAGCGAGCTATTCAGTAAACTTCGCAATCACTGTCGGCGAGGAACGATCGGTCAAAATTTCGCGATATGTTTGCACTGTTTGAAGCTGACATAATTGGCTTGGTATGCCTGCGGGACCGTTTCCTATAACGGGCAAGCGCAAACTCAAATTCAACAGCCCCATGATTTCATCTCCAACCTTGGAACATAAGACACCTGGGCACAAGAATGGTAGGCCACTTATGCGGCCTTGCGATGTCTTTTTAACGTTCTTTTGAGATGGACTTTTAGTGTATAGCAGACTTTTCCATATAAAACCTTTGTATTCAGGGATATCTCCACATGGCATCACGAAAACACAGGTCATCAATATCATGCATGTATAACATAGCTATAGCACAAGATATTGTGACTAGTTAAGTGCATTTGTAGTAGATGGATATGCATGAGACACAATCTGAAACTCAGAATCACAATCCCTGATTCAAAGACCATCCATAATTTAGTGAAACGTCATTGAGGAATACTTTCCTTCTCCGTCGATCAAGTCGACCAGGACCTCTGCAAGCCGATGGGTTATCCCTTTCTTAATCTCACCGCGTCATCCAAGATTCCGAGGCAGATGGGGATGACTATATCGGTCTATCGCACTCGGTGGTACCGGACAATTCTACCCCGGGCAGAATTACAGTGGTGGTGCCTATGAAAAATGAATCCAGCAACTCATGACATATAGAAATGAAAAAGTTAGGTAACTAGTCAACTGCTTATGTAGTCTTAATATGCCTTATTAATATTAATACGATTGCTGGATATAGTTTTATATATCTTCCTTTAAGAACTTTTTATCCTTCTCAGGATTCACAATTGACAAAGAAAAGGGTGGAGAAAGGCTTAAGGTTATGAAGACAACTTTTCAATAACAACATTGCTATAGATCACATTAGTTATAGGCCTGACGGATCGATAAGTACAGACAGAAGATTGAAGAACAAAAACAAATGGACTAGCGGTGGATCGAACACCGGACTTCTCGCATGCAAAGCGAGCGCTCGTACCACTGAGCTACAAGCCCTTTTGAATCATAATTTGAATAGCTTTGGAGAATGATGTGGTAGAAAACCAGAGATTGGAGTTCTAAGGTCAGGATGAAACTATACATAGGGAAGCAGGTCTTGATTAGGAGAAAGGCCTTAGGGCTCAAGCCTGCTGACCGTATATGGCTAGTGTTGACTGGTCTATCCTGATCTATCCAAGGGAGAGTGCAAGGGACAGTGTAAGGGTTGTAGAACAAACCAGAAGATAAAATTAAAAATAAAGATAAGGTTAACATTGGAACCACATGGGTGACAGACCGAAATCTGCCCCACCCCTTGGGATCAACCTTCTGTGAGACAAGTACATACTGTACCTCGTTAGCGGCGGGTTGGAACAGGAATATTGTTTGGCCGAGCTAGAATTCCATAAATGGTATCCTAATTTAACGTGTGATGAATCCATCTTCTCTTCGCAGCAAATACAAATCTAGTGTTGAATATATCCTTCGATGACAGTATGGGCCAATGTACCCGTACGTTCTGCCCCGTATTCTCTTTGCCCCTTCCAGTACAAACGTATGAGGCAGTTTTGCTCTTAGTACGCTGCACCGACCTACGATCTGCCGCCTCATATGCCGATCCGCTAGTCGATTGTCACAATTACCCATCACCTTACGCAGCGGGTCCCCTAATCTGCCTCGAGGATGCAACGGCCGAATGTTGGAACACCGAAAAAGGTGTCGAGTAGTTCTTTGATATTCTGTGTTGAACTATGCTATGACATCATATTCGGTTGTGGGCGGCAATTGCCGCGTATTCGGCAAAACATCTCTCCGTTGTAATTGTAACATCACCTCTTGTAACCATCACCTCGTTTGCCGATAGAATATCGAAAGTGTTAAAATATGCAACGTAGGGCACGTGCTGTGTGCACCCGATGCCACAGTCGTAAGGCACGTTGATATCTATTAATGCCTCTAGTCGAGACTAATATTGATCCAGATCCGCTGCGACCTAGAAGGTCGGCTAAGCGGCAGCTGCAGCCGTTGCGAGCATGAATGCCGTACGTGCCAGTAGGACTACCTAATTATATGATACCCTGAGACATATAAGCTGATATGACAGACCTCACATTGGACCTCGAAAGCAAAGGAAAGCCCTCCGCTCTTCACTTTACTCGTCGGATACAAGTCTTCTGTCACCAAGCCGAGCAGTCCCAGCAGTGGCACAGGAGAACACAGCACAGGAAGCCACACCATCCCCCTTTCGTCCTCTTGGCCACCGGGATGTAACCTGCTTGGGACCTGACAATGCCAATGGTTCGCGGCAACCAAATTCCATCGATGGAAGTCAGCTCATTCTAGATATAAACCATGCTTGTCGCCGTCCGCCCCCTGTCATCGCCCAAGCACTTACCGATTTCTATTTCCGTGAACTCTTCTACTTGGTCCCAGTTTTGGACCGTGGACAATCTGAGATAGAAACCTCTACCTTGCTACAGCAATGCTTGTATTTCGCGGGAAGTACCATGCGTCAAACAGCAGGACCAGCCGAATGGACCACCTCTGCCATATACGGGCGGATTAGAACTTTGCTCTTTCTGCACCACGATCCGGCTCCGTTAAATATGCTTAGCGCGCTGTGCATCCTCAGCACCTGGCTTCCGTATTCCCCTGACGTGATAGTGCTGGACAACCCGTGGCAATGGGCTGGTATGGCAATCCGACTCGCGATTCAGTTGCATTTGCACGAGGATGAGACATACAGCAGATTAGAACATCCTGAAAGAGCCCGCAGAATGTGGTGGTATCTCTTTATCAACGATACTATGCAAACGGCTTGCTGTGGGCGTCCTGGGATGTTTCCCTTGGAAACCTCTGTGCCACTGCCTGTTCCTAGTGACTTCACAGACCCCGATCTGGGATCACGCGTCTTCTGCCAGTTAGCAGGCCTTTGTAAAAGCCTAAGGAAGGTCTTGGACCTGGCCAGAGTTGATAACAGCACATCAGAGCAGGTGTATCTGTGCCTGGACGGACTGAGGGTGTGGAGAGAACAGTTGCCTCTCGAAATCCAATTGTTCGACATCGAGACTAGACAACCGTACAGTCGCTATGTCGCTGAGCTTCATATCTTTTACTTGGTGACTGTTATTTTGACATGCTTCCTTGGCCGCCGGGACAACCCGTCATTGTTCAAATATGCTTCAATGGCTGCTTCATCCTGTGTTTCTCGGCTATACGAGGAGATTCTTTATCACGAGGATGTTCAATACCTACTACCAATCCATTCTTGGGCTAACCTCGTCGCCGCAATCCCACGAGCCTTCAGTGACAATGACGCCTTGAACCCAGACCGGGACGAAGAGCTCAGAATCAGTAAACAGGTGTTGGAAACTATGAGCGAGAAGCATCCCTCCGCTGCTTTAGTACTCAGCAAGGCCAACGGACTCAACACTATGCGCGCAGATGCGTTTCCCGCTCAATCTGATAATACGTGGGGTGCTCTTCCGGTGTCTGGGCAAATACAGCTGGCTCAGCTCTTCCCTTTCCCCTCGAGCTTTTGCCCTATGCTTGGGCTGCTAAGAACAGCAGAAACTAGCGGAAATCAACCACCGGATACACTTCTTACTTTACCTGTGGATAGGAATGATTGGCCGATAGATTGGTCTTTCTTCTTATTCGACGGTCTCATGAGTTACTGAAATACTGATAAAATATGATATCCAGCGAGTTTTGACTGTAATGGCGTCATATAGAAGGTCGATAGCACTAGGCCTGCTAGGTCGCCAGATCGCAAGATTAAACTACAGTGCATCTGTCTTTGATTCATATATTGATTGAACATTTGGCTCTTCCACAATGTCATACACGTCGGAGTACATCCCAAACAAGTCTAGTTGAATTGGTTTGACTTTAAATTGGTGACACCAAAGCTACGGTCAATTAATTGGTGAACTCGATATGTGGAGTCCCAGCAAGGCTGCCTGTTAAACCTCAGGTTTGCCGCTTTTTCGGCTATATAGTTATAGTGTCCACGTAATTTCCTTTTAGTATGATCTTGTTTTCTATTTTTGAAAAAGAAAGGATTCCCCTTTTTCCTTTTGCCTTTTGCCTTTTGCCTTTGATTTTATGTAATATGATGGACTACATCCATGGATACTATGCTGTACTCATTATATTAAGCTGCGTTCAGGAGTCACTCTTGAGAACACAAGTCTCGCCTTCTGTCATACCAACCCAGTTCCAAGAAGCCTGCCAGATAGCCTCACACTTCATCTCATCTTCGCTCACACGTGCAGGGGGTTGGGGCTTCCTCCCATTGAAATGGCCTCTCACTGATGCGTACTCAGGGGCCAAAGCCAGCGCTAGGACATCTCGGGCCGAGTCCGAATTTGACCGAAGCCTGTACGTAAACAGCCTGATCACTGGAAGTAAAAGAGCAAACAGCCTAAAGAAGATACGGATGACAGAACGTTGGGCGACATGGGCCCGGGAGTTGACAAGACCACCTGGGTCCATAGCAGTCACGGTGATCTTGTTGAATTGCGGATTCTAGACACAAACTTAGTGCCATCCCATTCATTTTAAAACTCTTGCTCATACCTGTTGAAGTCGTTTGTTCAAACTCTGCATAAACATGACATTGGCCAGCTTGCTGTTTGCGTACCGTTGCCAACCCATATCATGTTCTGTTCCAGCCTCGTCTGCGCCAGGATTGACCAATGTATCAAGACTGTTGTTAGAGGGGAGGTTTGCACCCAGTTTGGAAAGAGCGTTGGAGTGTTCGGGGTCGTGAACTTCAGAACTAAGCATGACCACCCGGCCCGTCTGAGGATCCATGCTCCGCAGAAGTTTGAGAACCAGCAAAAAGTGCGCAAGATGATTGACTTGGAATGTAGATTCCAATCGATCTTTGGAAAATTGCTGACCGTCTAGTGACCATGTGAAGGCATTGCAAATGATAGCGGAAATGGGTGGAAGTTCGTTATATTCCACCAGGCCAGCAATTTCGTCCGAGAATGCTCGTACTTCCGAAATGGAGTTCAGATCTACACTTTTGATCAGGAGCTTGCCGGGAGGATGCTGTTGGGCAATATCTTGCAGTCGAAGTAACTGAGGACTTTGGGGGGATTTCTTCGCATTTCGGACAGTGCCAACAATGGTCAACGAGGGATGCGACGACAGAAGTTGTTGCACGGCTTCAAGCGCGAGCGAGCCGGTTGCACCGGTGATAATCACTGTGCCCACCATATTTGCAAAATTCTACAAAAAAGAGGAAATGATTGGGAGAGCAGAAAGAAGGATAGTAATGATGCTGTAATTATAGACAGGATAACCAATCACGAATATTGCCGAACGTTCGGCTAACTGTGCGGCAGTCAATCACTTAAGTCGAGCCGAGTCAAAAGGAGTTTAGGATACTTATACCAGTGCATTCAATACATCATACTGAATTGTCATATCCTTTTAGTGGTCTTTTTCCTTTTTCGGATGTATACATGCTACATATACATACGAAGGTAAAAAGATGTACTTTATACAAGTTATTTTTGTATATATACAACCGTCGATAGTATATTTATTTACTATAGAGAATCAATCCATCAGAATACTCCGAAATGAAACTACATACTCCTATACTCCTATACTCCATACACTCACTCCCACTCTCCCCCACAACTATATGCGGCCCCACCCCGTCCTTCGCAACGCATCCGCCCCGCGTCTATAAAAGAACCACAACAGAACTTGAAACCCTCAAAACCACAACCCATAACCTCAAATCTGCTTGTACAACCCAAAATTAAACTCCAAGATGGCAGAACAACCCAACCAACCCCAACAAATGCACAACATCAACCACACAGACCTCCAAAATTTCGTCAAGCAAATCCTCATCGCAAACAACACATCCCCAGCCCACGCCGAAATAGTCTCCAAATGCCTCGTATCAGCCGATCTCCGCGGCGTAGACACACACGGAAGCAACCGCATCCCCTCATACATGGAACGAATCCGACAAAACGCACTTGACCCAAGCGCGATCCCAACAATCCGCCAAGCGACGCCCGCCGTCGCGCAAGTCGACGCGCACAATGGGTTCGGCTTTGTAGCCGCGCACGAAGGGATGAAGCTCGCTATCTCCATGGCCCAGATCTTCGGTATCGGGATGGTCTCCGTCAAGCACTCGAATCACTTCGGCATGTCTGCATGGTTGGTGCAACAGGCGCTAGAGGCTGATATGATGTCCCTTGTTTTCACGAATAGCTCGCCTGCCCTGCCGGTCTGGGGTGGGAGGGAGAAGCTGATGGGTGTCTCGCCGATTGCGTGTGGAGCGCCGGCTGGAGAGGGGAGGCCGTTTATCTTGGATATGGCGCCTTCCATTGCTGCCCGTGGGAAGATTTATAAGGCGCTTCGGCGGGGGGAGAAAATTCCTACCGATTGGGCGCTGGATAAGGATGGTGGAAGGACGGATGATCCTGCTGAGGCCTTGCAGGGTGTTATGCTGCCTATGGGTGGGCCGAAGGGGTCTGCGCTGTCTGTTATGATGGATGTTTTCTCTGGTGTGCTTTCTGGGTCTGCTTTTGCTGGACATGTTACCAACCCATATGATCCGTCGAAGCCAGCGGATGTGGGCCACTTTTTGGTGGCTATTAAACCGGATTTGTTCATGACTATTGAGGAGTTCAAGGAGAGGATGGATTATCTTTATCAGCGGGTTATTGATTCGGAGAAGATGGCTGGTGTCGATCGAATTTATTTTCCTGGGGAGATCGAGATGATTACCGAGGAGAAAAGATTGGTGGAGGGGATTCCTTTCACCACAGCTGAGATTGACAGCTTGAATAAAGAGGCTGACCTGGCAAAGATCGAACATTTGAAGGTATAGACTACATGTGTACCTTGCAACAAGAGGAAATTGTATTATATACTGCGAGGTTAACCACATTACACTACATGTGCCAACGGAGTAGCTTCCAAGATAAATATATCTTCGCCTGGCAATCTATGTATTGTTAGAGCTTCAAGTCAAAATCATGTAAAATCAATATACTGACCACCTACTGGTCCTAGGAAATAGACTATCGAGTACTAGCAACAGAATAGACACAGGACTGAACAACTAGCCGCTAGAAACATCCCACCTTAAAAGGAGAAAGCCACACATTAAGATACATAGACATAAATGAAGAGAGAAAAAAGCGATCCACAGAAGAATGGAAATAATGTCACAATTGAATTATCGTCGACAGAGCCTCCCATAGAGGAACAAATAAAAGCTAAGAGGGGACAATGAGAAACGAAAAGAAAAAAAAAGGATCAAAAGGATAATAAAATGCTCTGAACAAGAACACGAATGAGGTCTCACTTTACAGCCAGAGATAATAGTAACAGTAGAAGGGAATGCAAATCACATGTGGGAGTAAAACGGGGAGAACAGCGAACAAAAGCAGAACATTAGGAAGCAAGGAAAATGTAGCTAGACAAAGGAAATAAAGAAAATGCTAGATAATTAATCAAACACCCGACGGATGAAGAGGAATCGCTCCATGCATAAGAAGAGGACAAAAGCAGGGTATCACGGGGTATCCAAACAACCTCGCTGCTCTTTCAAGCAACTCAAAAGAAGCATGTGAATGATATGGTTTGAATCTGCTTCCAACATCAAGGCTCAAACCGCAAGTGGTTGATCGATCCAATCTCAATGGTTAGACCGCTTGAGACGGAATATTGCTTTTTATCTATTGGTGAAGCCGCAAATCAACGGCAATCAACGGTCGTCACCGGCGCGGGACTTGGCACGTCTTCGGAAGAAGTCCATGACTTTCCGTGCTGCCCCAGAACTGCCGGAATGGTGAGACCCATCGCGCTCATATTCGTAGGCGTCGGCGAATTTGCGGTGGTTTTTCTGCAAAACACCCGGCCCACGTCCTGATCGACCAACCTGCATGGACTGCCTAGGCATGTTGTCATACGGGCCGTTGTAATCATCGTAGTAGCTTGGCTTAGACGAGTGGTTTTGGTGAATAGAGTGGTCTGCGGAGTTCAGGTACACTTGCTCAGCCGAGGGAACTCCAAACGAACCACTTTGGTGATCAAATTGAGATCCCAGGTCTGCAAACTGTCGATCGATCTGCGCCTCGTAGCTAAGCGGCTCAGGTTCGGTGTGTACATCCTCACCGGGTCCCTCGTCGACTATTCCCATGGCATCCTGGGTGCCATAGCTTGTCGCCCGGGAACGACCTGGCGCCGGACCCGCGCCCGTGGCGGGGCGTTGCGGGGAACGGGGATCGATGGGACGAGAGACTTGTGAGGTTTCTTCGGGGGTTTGGGCCCGGGTATTAGAGAAACCTCGGAATGAGAAGGATTGCGGGAGTAATGAGAATCGACGAGGGCGATTTTCCGCCCCAGCCTCGCTCGTCTTGCGGTTGTGGGGATATTGCATCGAGCGGCGGGAGTCCATAGACATTCTAGAGTTGTCTCTTGGTAGAGGATCCTTCATGCTGACAGGGGGTAACGCTTGTCCGGCTTGGTACGAGTGGCATTAGATTGCGTACGGCCACCCAATATTGAACCAGAACGACCGAAAAGCTTCTCGCCTAGGCTGGAGACAGTATTGGACCTCTTGTGGCCCTTCGGCGGTTCTTGTCGAGGAGTAGTATTGAATGTTGAAGGCAATTGTTGGATCTGAGTGCTTGGACGACCTATAGATGTGCTCGATGCCTGCGCAGGATCCTGTGCAAGGGCAAATTGCCTGCTCTTGGGCTGTGCTAGGCGGCCTTCTGTGTTAGTTGCGGTAACAGTGGGGGCCACCGGTTGCCCATAGGAGCCCCGAGAAGGCAAACGACCAGTGTTTCCAAGGGAGTTCATCGATGCACCAGTGGCTGGCCGAGGCCCTTGGGAGATCGCATTCGGCTGCGACCCAGAAAGTGCAACGTTGTCTGAAGTCGAGCGCGGGAAGTGTGCTGGAAGTGGCTTGTTGAGATTGAGTGCCGGTGCATCTGCAGGCTGGTGTGCCGGTTCTGGGGGCTGTTGCACTGAAGCCGCAATTTGGACTTCCGATGGGGCCGAGGGTCGGCTGCGTGATGCAGACGGCTCCGCCGGAGGCTCTCCTCGGGTCGTCTGTGATTGGGGAGCAACATATTCGACTTGTACCGTCCTCCGCTTCGCATCGCGGGGAGTCCTGGACTTTTCGGGCGGGGGGTCTTGAGAAACATCTCCAGCGTGATGGTTCAAACCACCAACAGCGGGAGGATTAGTCTGATGTGTCTTCTGTGGTTCGCGCACTGAGGCACTGCGGACAAGAGGCGGCGCTTCCTTTTGGGTTTCTGTGACTTTATGTGAGTAACTTGTAGCTTGACCACCTGCAGGAAGCAAATGCTTACCAGACGGAATCGTTGTGTTCGCAATGTCCACAACGTTGGTCGTGCTGCTTGTGATATGAGAGACAATGTTCGAGAACTCGCTGAGCCAGCTGTGGCGGGCAACTTCGAATAAATCTGCACGTTTCCGAGGATCGGGAACCAGTATCCGTCTCAACAGATCGCGTGCATGTGGTGTGACATATTCGGGGAATGTGAGAGGAGTAGTCACAATATATTTGTACAGAAGATTGATGTTGTCGCCATCTGGGTTCGCTGGGTCGTCATCGAAAGGTAGGTATCCCGCCAGCATGGCATACTAGATTTCACCAAGTTAGTTGGGTCGGGTTTTCATGGATGTAGGGAAAATCATACCAAAATCACACCACAGCTCCAGACGTCCACCTTCCGCCCTGTGTATAAAGAATCGCTCACGACAAGCTCGGGTGCTGCGTAACAGGGACTACCACAGCTGGTCTGCATAAGATCGCCTCGCCTTAGCCCATTTGTGCCAATCTTGTCCAGGCGCTTCCGTTTCACGTATTCTTTGTTTGTCAGGTTGTACTCTATTTCCTCGTCTAGAGGATCCACCGGGTCGAAGGTATTGGCGAATCCGAAGTCAGTAATGATGATGTTGCGATTCCGATCGAGTAGCAAGTTCTCTAGCTTGAGATCACGGTGCACAATGCCCTTTTTGTGCAGGTAACCGACTCCGGAAACCAACTGAGCAAACAGGCGGCGTGCAGAATTATCCTTGAGATATCGATTATTTAAGATGTAGTCAAATAGTTCACCTCCTGACGCGTATTCCATGATGATACCAATGTGACGATCGGTTTCCACCATTTCATGGAGGCGCACAATGTTGGGGTGTGCTAGCTCACGTAGAATGGCAATTTCACGGTAGATTTTTGGTAGTCGACTCGGGTTGGTCCCCAGCGTGTCTCTCCGGATGAGCTTGATTGCCACCTGGATACTGCCATCGCGCTTCCACCCCAGCTTGACCTTTCCAAACTCGCCCTCGCCGAGGGTTTGTCCGAGAATGTACGAGCCAAACGTGGTTTCCTTGCGCTTGATAATGTTTCCATTATTGTAATCGTGACGACTCCGAGGCCCACGAGCTTCCTCCACACCGTCGGTGGTAGCTGCACCGAATCCGGATGAAGATGCATTTTCTGAGCCAGCTGGTCGCACCTGTTCTCTCTGTTGGTCGATAAGATGGTCATGGGCCAGCACAGAATTGACTTCCGCACTTGGTTCCTTTACAAAGTCCCCCCGGCCATGGACACTGTCCATTTCTGACTCAGTGGGGTTTGTGACGGGTACGGTCCTTGATTGTTGCACTTCGCGAGATGTCTCCTCAGGCTGGTGTCTCCGTGATCTACCATTTCGGTCGTCGCGCGTGCGATCACGGCCTTCTTTTCGATCTGACCTGCTCTTTCCTTGTCGGGAGCTACTCGTTTTATCTGTAGAGGTTCCATTTGGATTGCGGCGACTGTGATGGGTGGAAGAGGTCCTCGGAGGAGGAACCGGGGGTGTACCTAACATATCGGGATAGGTTGTGTGCGCATTCTTCGGCGCGGGAGATGATGTGCTAGTCGATACTTCTGAGGCATGAGCGGGGAGTGGCACGGCCTGCTGACGGGAAGTGTTCATAGCCGAAAAAAAAGCTGTTTAGGACCGGCCTCAGAAACGGCTAGTAGAAATCAGCAAGCAATTTATGAAATGGAATGGTTTTGATAAAGGACTGGTACGCGCTGTGAGGCAAGTTGTATTGCGGCTGATAGCATACCTTCGTCTAGTGAATACGGAAAGCCTCAAAGAGACTTACTGTGTGACTGTCCGAGGCAGCTTTTGCGGACACTCGTGGACAATATTCCTGGTATCAATTGCGATTGGTACAATTGGCGCGAGGGAGCACAATGCTCTGCCGGGGGTGTCTGGCAAAAGTCGAGGGGGTTGGGGCGACCGGTCGCACTCGCTAGATGACTATTCAAAGCGCAATCTGTAGACACTGAGATATCCGTTAACTTGAATGTTCCCCATATTCTTATCGATAATCGCCAAAAAATGTGCCCTTTTAAACCCAAGAATGGGGGTCGGGCAACTGACAGCAGATCGATCGGAGGAATGGGGGGGAAACTAGCTTACGACCAATCGCGCAAAAAACCGTTGGATGAGGGTTGAATATCACCGAGGACACCAGGTCGTGACCTTCTTCAAGTGTAAAGACGCGTCGAGAAACAACAAGTTTCTCGAAAAAACGAAAGGAAAGCTAAAGATACCTGCGCTGCAGTACTCCAGAGTCCCCCTCTGTCCAAACCCACGATTTGGGGTTTGGGGTCGCACGTTGTCCAAGAAATCGAGCAAACGCGGTAACAAGTGTCTCAGACGCGATTGCGGACCTGGTCAACAGAACTCTGATTCAATTGCGACAACAGTTGAACATTGTCGAAGATGGGATATTGAGGGGCGGACAGGGGGCCGCGAGGGGAGGAAAAAGACGGGAAGCACCGGTCGGGGGATCCGAGTCGAAAAAGGGGGAAGAATATTCCCCCCAAAGAACAGAATCAAAGAAACAAAAAGAAAAGAAAAAACAACAGAAGACCAAAAGAAAAAGAAAAGCCCCAAGGGTAGAGCAGAAGGCCGAGAAGGTGAAGAGGGAAAAAGGTGAGATACGAGTGGTAGTTTCTCTTAGTCTGGGGGAGGCGGGTCCTTGGCTCTTGAGCCTTGGATGAGGGTTTGACTGATATGGCACTACTTAGATACATAAGGGAGGAATTTCTATTTAATTACATATAGTTAGGTTTACGATGATGAGAGAGAGAGAGAGAGAAAGACAGATAGCTAATTCAATATTATACTAGAATTTATAATAGGTCTACGTTTGATAGGCCTTTTGAAATAAGAGAGAATCTATACATATACTTAGGGCCGACGCCAGCTACCCAAGGGCTTTGGGGGGTTATGATACATCCAGGATGGTGACGACAAAGACAAGGTCACTTATTCCTGTGCGCGTATGGAGTGGATTCGATATTAATTGCCCATATATTTATTGATCGTGAGTCCCTTGCGCCAGTAGCTAAACCTGTGCTAAAAAGGGTTCGAGTCCCGAGGGATCCTCACATGTGCGAAAGAAGGGAGAGAAAGTGTACCGATTACAGAGTAACAATGTACTCTGTGGATTTGACAGACATAATAATAGCATGAATTAGGCGCTAAAAGTGCTAGACGGCTCGGTTTCAAGAAATGAAAGAAGCAAAAAATAGGGGGTTGCACCGGCTGTTTCGAATGCTCATAGAGTGGACACCTCAGGACGATCGTCATTATTAACCTCTCTCAGAACAGAAGCTCAGATCTCGATTTTTCTCTCCTTCTTTATTGGTCTAGCTAAACTATTTTATATATGTTGTAAAAAAAAAAAAAAAAAAAAAAAAACAGATTCGATTTGAAATCATCATGAAAATGAATTTTAAGATCAATGTCGGATTCAAAGGTGTCCAGAGATTAGAGATTAGCTGTGGAAAATGGTGTGCAGTAGCTCGGCTCCCTAGCTTACTTTGGCTGACAATTAGCGCCCAGCGTATGTTGCCGTTTTTGCTTCGGGCTTTGACTCTTCGAAGCTACCGAGGAGTACGGAGTACCTCCGTATAACTAACTAGATCTTGTATGTACCAAGTTGAAATCGATTAAAGAGGGGCCAAAGCCACCCGCAAACCCTGGAACCATGGCCCCAACCATGGTAAATAGAGCTAGAACCATGGTTAGATCCCGATCTAAAGCAGATCTTGTTCAACTTCAGGAATTTCATATTCAACTGCAACCTTAGAACCCTGCAAAATCTTAATATGTTCCAAGGTTGTATCCATACATGGAGAACATGCAGTTCCTGAATAGTCCGACCTGCAACACTAAACCTTACTCTATCTTTTTATGTACTCTATCCACTTACCCACAGTTTGTCTCCATTTCAACATATCCCGATGCATGCAGTAATCCATGCTAAATCGACTAAATCATTCTACTTTTGTTGAAAGCCCCTGGATCACCAATAATACACCAGGCATAATATCCAAAGCCTTGGAATGATCATTTTCTCCCTAATAACCCTCATTGGGTAAGGGGTCAAGGTGGGCCCTGGACAACTGTCAAGCGATGCGTTGGCACTTTTCGCTTCAACAACGTTGTAGTATACCATCACCCAATCAATATCGGATAGATCGTCTAGCGGAACCTGGGCAACGCATATGAGCAACCCTGTCCAATGGCTATCATCGCCGTGGCCTACATCACACCCAACCACCCTCACCTCCTTGAAATTTGTCTGCTGACTAGACTCCGTATACAAATCAGATTGCCGCTAGAAAAGACGGTCTACTGTGCTCTCCCTATTTGGGTACTGTGCCACCCAGCTAGAACCCAAACTCTGTCCAATGGCCCTTGAAGAATTGAAGAACCAAAGAGGTGGTGATTTATCTGTGGATAAGATGCGATCGGAAATTTATTGCGGATATGCGAGGTCACTATCTACAACATAGGTATCGAAAAGGTAAAATAGACAAAACTCAAGAAGTTTTCAAGCTTCAAGCCTTAATCAAAAGATTGTAAAAATCGGAAATCGTGCATGTCGTGTCAAAGTCACAAAAATGAAAATAATCCAAGCATCTCAATATACGTGATCTGGTTTCCCCCCAAGCAGTGTAATTGCCATGCGCGCCAGCCCCCGATTTTTTACCGCTTACCCCCTGACATGGACGACGCGTTGAGGGACGTTGTCCCAGGCGCGCCATATGCAGGAGGCGGTGTAGGGTTGGGCGACGCACGCCGCACAACAGGGTCCCTGGCGCTCAAGCCAGTAGGGCCCGAAGCAGACTCCACAGCGTTAGCTGGAACCTGGCCGCCGTCACCACCGCCAACGACAACCTGTTGACCGTCGCGCATTTTTCCAACGACCATTCCCTTGGCGACGGATTTCAGAAGCGCGCGGCGACTGACACCCGTGGCATCGATGTAAACCAATCCGACGTTCTTGATTCCGCCTGTCAGGTTGGTTGCTACGGAACCTGCCTCATTGCCGTAGCGGTGTTCGATCATGGAGCTGGCGGCGCCGGCTCCGGAGAAGAGCATGTTCCGGGCGCTCTGCTCGATGCCATCGGCCAGGGTTGAGAATGCGATCATTGATTTGTTTAGCACACCGGGCTTGTATTCAGGTGGCGGGTTGCGCCGGTCGACACCTTTATTCCGGCCGGATTCTTGCTTGCGCGCCAATGACGCACCTAAGTTCTGTGCAACCCTCCCGACCTGTCCGACTGTGCGAGCAGAAATATCCGCTGCTCCGTTGGAGAGAGTGCCGACCTTGCGGATGCGCGCGTGAGTAGCGTCTGAGAATTTCACAGGCTCGATATTCGGCTGCGTCTTCTTTTGGAAAGTCTCTGCGCCGCTCGCGATGGCACTTGCCAGATATGTCGATCCAGTCACGATCAGACGGGATGCTGTAGCTGAACTTTGCACGAGTGTCGAATTCTTATACGCCGGGTGCTGGGCCAACGCCAGGTATTCTTCGGAGACATTGGTAACGCTGACTTGATTGCCTTTGCCTTCTGCAGGGAGTTCAATCCCAACCGGTCCTGTTTACGATATATTAGCCAGTTGCAAATTGAGGACGATTATAATCCAACACTTACTTTTAGAACCAGGTTTCACATCGGCGTCCTCAACCACATTGTATCCATCCCCTAGCTCTCCGACCACACTGCCGTTTTCTTCATCCACGAGTACAATTCTCCCATGTGCATCTGCTTTCTTTGTATCCGGGGTCCCAACGTAACCCTCGCCGGGTGCGTAGCTGGCCGGGTTATAAGAAGTATAATCCTGGGCCTTCGGTTGCGGGGTGCGCTCGAGGAATGCAGTGCATTGCGCAAGGATGGATTCAAAGGTATCAATATCATCCTGAGACACATTGCTGGGGCCTGTGCCAATGCTAGGGAACTGGATACGAATGAAAGCGCCAGCATCAGGACCCATGTCCCAGCGGGGAATCAGATAACTGTCGGGAGGTTGGTGAAAGATCTGTGTGGTCGCGGGTATGGCAATATCGAGCTCAGGAGGAAGGTATAGGTGAAGATAGAAATCCTCTTCCGGTGAATCTTCAGGCCAATCTGTCCCAGGGCCAGCAGTGGCGGTATTGGTGGGGACCATTAGCAGCGATAGGGTTTGAGGGCTGGACGGCGTGAGGTCCTGCTCCTCTCCATCTTGGATATGGAAAGCACGGATATTATTGACGCTGTATAGCAGACGGGGATCATTTGCTGCGCTCGCCATCGTGTTGGTTGCTGTCACTATTAAGGCTTGCGGCTTTCAAGGTTGCCCGCAATTTAAGGTGCTGATAACACGCGTATGACGTCGTCCACTGTCTGCAACAATGATGGTTGATAAGCTGAGAAAGACGTTTACAACTCCAAGAACAACAACAGGAAATTAGGATTGTTGAAATAGGAGAAGGAAATAAATCTATTTTCAGACTTAAGCCAAGGAGGGGCTTCTTATGAGATCATGTCTGGGCGCTTAGATAACTGAGGGATGACCCCGGTGCGGGACAGAAGGAGGCTGTGCTACGCCACACTATATCAGCACCGCCACATATAACCTAGCCACACTTGGCGGGTCTTGTTTATTGCTTCTGGTTGGTTAACATCGCCTCAGTCATCCATCCATAATATCAGCAAAACTTGCCTCCCGAGGTCATTCCTCCAGATGGCCGCATTCCAGGTATTATCTGATTTACATCTAGAAAGTCCCTCTGCCTATGATGTATTCGAGGTCTCTCCGAAAACACCTTTTCTTGCGCTCCTGGGAGATATAGGAGTTGTCAGAGACGCAGGCTTCATTCCGTTCATTCAAACCCAGTTGCGCCAATTCCAAATCGTTTTTTTTCTGTTAGGGAACCATGAGCCTTACCACTCAAGCTGGGCGGAGACTAAGCAAACTCTCCGTCAAATCTCAGCGTCTGTCGATCAGTGGCGTTCAACTACAGGACAAGATGGACATCCACAAACTATGGGTTCTTTCGTCTTCTTAGATCAGACCCGCTACGATCTCTCACCAGACGTGACTGTCCTCGGGTGCACACTCTTCTCACGAGTGAGCGACGCACATAAGGAACAAGTCAGCTATGGTCTCAATGACTTTTATCACATAAGCGACTGGACGGTTGATGATCACACGGCTGCTCACGAAGCAGACCTGGCCTGGTTAAATGAACAGGTTTCTCATATCACTTCTTCTGAGCCTCATCGCAAGATTGTGGTTTTTACGCACCATAGCCCAATCACTCAGGATCCACGAGCAGTTGATCCAAGGCACGTAAATAGCTCGCTGTCCTCGGGGTTTGCCAGCGATCTCTCAGGGCAGGAGGTTTGGAAGAGTCCGCTAGTAAAATTGTGGGCATTTGGGCATACGCACTTCAATGTCAGTTACATTGAGGAGGGTACCAAGAAGATGGTCGTTAGTAATCAGCGCGGCTATTACTTTTCTCAGGCGAAGGGATTCGATGGAGAGCTGGTAGTTCGAGTCTGATACCGTACATTCACAACCAATTTGCACTGTATGGAGTAACTTGCGATATCATCAGTATGAGGATGACCTTCATAAGTTATATCCAAGGTTATCCATATTTGGAAAACTCCATTTCAAAGATTGAGCCTTTTAGCACTTTTCCCCGCCCTCTATCTACCAAGTTTGAAAAGTAGACAAGATATCTAGAAAAACGACGTCCAAACAGATGACCAGGCCACATGAGCGGCCGACTATTCTTGTATGCATGGATCGAAAAGCCGAGTTGCACCTTTTATACCTTCAATAAGTATATTCACGTGGAAAAAGACCATTTATGGTAGGCAAGTTCTAATATTTCATCGTGCAGTGCCATTTTTAATCGTATGTCGATATATAAACCAGGAGATCTGATCTACAGCCCCACGTAGGCTTGGCGTTGGGCACCTGGGCAACGTGATGGTCACTGACTTTCAAATTGCTGCCTTCAGGGCTGATAGTACTCTCTTATAAATATAGGACTGGCTGCAGAAGATTCCCTAAATACTCCCAAAATATTTCTACAGTCTCCAGCAACCATGGCTCCCCTAACAATCATAGTCACGGGCAAATCATCCGTCACCCACGCCCCAGAACGAGGTACCCTCAGATTCTCAGTAAAGGGAAATGGCCCCGAACAAGACAAAATTGCCAAGGAAGTGGCAACCTCATCGACCAACCTACAAAAATGGATGAAATCAGCCTTCTATCACTGGAACGACGAGGGCCCTCTAACCCAATTTTCATCCACGAGTATCAAGACCTGGACAAAGTCAACAGATAGAAAAGAACGGCCGGTGCCAAACCCACACCATGCCAGTATATCCTTCAAAGCCGTCTTCCGAGACTTCACCAAGTTGAACCAAGCGATCGAAGAGTTACTGGTTTATCCCAAGGTGGAAATCGACGGTCTGGATTGGAGTCTCACAGACGAAACTGGCAGCCGACTAGCTTCGGATGCCCGCAAATTGGCACTGCGTGATGCCATCAAACAAGCCGATGACTACTCGGAAGTGCTTGAACGCTCGGTTTCGGTGGTAGAAGTTACCGACAATGGAGCGAGTCCTTACAGGTCTACTCGCAAATACAGGATGGCTGCTAGTTTTTATGATTCTGATGGGGAGGACCCTGCGCCGCTGGACCTCACGCCTCAGGATATTGACGTCGAAAGTGAGGTCAATGTCACTTTCAAAGATGTGTCGGCTGCTTGATTGTTCTTTCTTCAGCTTAGCTAGTGAGCCATAATCATCGAGTACACTGAATTAAATTGATTTGTGAAGATTTATTGACTATGTGATATATCCAAATTATTATATTTCAATCTTTATCCTACCCTCAGTTAGCATTAAAAACCTCCCACATGAGAGTGTCAAAGTCCGGAGCCCCGCTGAAGTCCATAAAACCCCCGGGCATGGAATCATGCAGCCAACTCATAGAATCAACATGCGGATCGTAATCATCCATAAAGGAGTTCAGCGGCAGATTTTCAACACCAGTGTCAGTACGAAGAGAAGGAAGCTCCCCTCCCTCATTGGCAGTCTGTAGCCGCTGTGCTCTTCCTGTGCCGGAAATTGATTGGTTCTTGCCTTGTCTGGTCGACCTTGAAGGGGCTTCTAAGCTTCGCATCTTCATAATTCTCTGAACAGTTGCACCGGATAACTCGTGGATACAATCCCTTGCCCGCTTAGCCTCAGCCCAGTATTCTCCAATACTGCTTAGGATATTCAGGCTGATGCTTGTATCGGCGACCACCTCATCAATCTGCACCTCGGATGCAACATGCGGTAGTCTCCACAAGCAGTGTAGCATTATCAGTGTACTCAAGAAGACAGAGTGAACAATGAGTCTGCTGTATACAAGAGCTTCCTGTCTATAAAGCTCCCCAAACCCGCGGATAAGATCTACGGCATGCTGGAAGCATCGCGCGAGCGTCTCTTCCGATGGCTCAGGAATCCCGGGGCTAGGTCTTAGCACCAGTATCATCATTTCGTTATACTTTGTTTCGCATATTTTGGCGATAGCATCGTCTTCTGGTCCACGGGGAATGTCTGCAAGCCAAGTTTGAAGGCGTTCAATCATCTCCTTCTGCCACAGATGAATGTCGGGTACCGGTGGGTAGGCATATCGGGGAGGATCTCTGCAAATGCTGTGCATGACATATTTAATCTCAGAGTTGATGCGGGCGAGTTTGAACAGGTGGATAGAGAAGGTCATGTGAGAAGTTGTGCCATTTTGCGAGGTTTCGTCGTAAACTGACTCAGAAAGATCACTATCAGAGACATCTGATGGGAGCTGAAGGTACTATTAGCCAGAGTTTGTCGGGAAACAACGTATTATCAGAGCACTTACCCGAAGCTCACATGCTTCATCTCTCACACCGATCGGTCGCCCCATCATCGTCCCTAACGTACGGTCAAAGCTGTATACAACCCAGAAGATGCGAGTCCGCATTTCCTGCTCCAAGAACGAGATGGAGAATGTCGATGATGTGCGAACATCACGCTGAAGGCCCAAGTCAATAAGGGAGCCCAAACATTGATAATTCAGGCTCCAGACATTGATGTCGCACGATGGATTATGAAGCCCATATACCATTAGCAAGAGCAGACTCTGCAGTCCTTCCAAAGAGCCATCGGCACATGCACGTTCGAAATACTGGGTAGCTGCTGTATAATACCCCTCGGCCGGAAGAGGAATTCTAAAGCGTCTAGATATATCCGAGGCTGCTATTGCAAGCACCATATAGACATGAAAGGCATCAGCTGGGTCGGGAGGTGCTTCATTGCTATACATTCTCTCGAGCCTTGTCATGTGCGATGGTTGGTGTAGAAACGGGTATACGAGATGCACCGAGGCGAAGTACTTTGAAGTCAGCTCTACGGCGTCTTCTTTGCGACCTGGGAGCGGTGCTGGGCTGTTAAAAAAATCGGACGAAAGTGACATTGGCTTGTTCGCATTGCCATTATTTCCTGATGGCCCCGTTCGACGGCCAGCACTCGAAAATATGAGGTTTGCTAGGAAATATCCGCTTGACGGACCAATGTATCGCGGTTCTCCTGAGGAGAGAGAGACAAGTCCAATTTCATGGGCAGGTCTTGAATGTGTCCGAGATGGTTGCGAGTCTGCTGGCCCGTGTTGTAGGTGGGGTGTTATTGACCGGCGAGTGCGAGTGCCCTGTGGTGAGGTAGATTCGACTTGGGTGCTTTCCACCGTAGGTTCGATTTGTGTGATATCCAACAGGTCCACTTGCGGGCCATCCTGTAGCTGGACCGTTGGATCCTGTTCCTTTACCAAGGACTCTAACCACTGCACTCGTTTTTGCAGATTCACAATGTACCTAATCAATTGTCAGTATTAGAAATGACAAAGAAGTGGGGGAGGGAGTATTCATGCGACTCAGCGGATGATGATACGTACGTGCGATTAACCTCTTGTTTACCATCGTTAACACAGGCTACATTGGCCTTTCTGCACGATGCGCAGCGGGGAAGATCCCCGTCACAGCGGATTTTCCGTCGCTGACACCTCCGACAGGCGGCGCGGTTCCGAGACCGCCGCGAAGAGTCCATAACAGAGATGACAGGATCCCTTGTGAGTATTGGAGTTGCTAATTCGTGGATATGACAAGAAATCCAACACCAACAATGTCTCTCGGAAAGAACAGTCCCTGCAAAGGAAAATACTGGAATCGACGAGATTTGGGCCAAACGGGAAACTTCCGCCAAGGACGGATGGCATCCGTCCTTGGCGCGTCACTTAAAAGAGAACTACATTCCGATTCCAGTCACTGTATAACCCCACCATTCTTTGATTTTTAGTAAAAATAGAACTCATATTCAAAATGGTTCTTGTCCACATTGGTATGGTTCACCTGCGATAACAACCAAATACTTAATTAACCATCAATAGTTCTGTTCAAGTTCCGAGTAGACGTCGGGGACGAGGTGAAGCAGGAGTTCCTTTCTCAAATTAAGACACTCAAGTCTTTGCCTTGTGTTAAAAGCCAAAGACTTGTTGTTGGGGGGCCCTCGATTACAACCCCAGTTGAAAAGAGCAAAGGATTTCAATATGCTTTAGTGAGCTACCACGAAGATCGAACAGCATTGGCTGAGTATCAAGCTAGCAGTGAGCATGAAAGGTATAAAATAGCCCTTGAATCCTTGGATCTGATGGGAGCTCATGTTATTCTAGGGTCACAAGCACATACTTCATTCCCTATAAAGAGGATTTGGTTCGGTTTGACTTTGAGACTGATCAAACCGACGAGATGCTGCTTGGGTTTTGATGTCCGATGCCAGTCTCAGTTTTAGCAGGAAATTTATACAAGATCAAACTTCACGTGTTCTAGAGGCGAAGGTAAGCATACCTAGATAGGTATACATCGTACATACAAAGTACCACATGGAGAAAAGCAAGGTCTCCGTGGAGTGGGGCGCGGCTCAAACGATTGGAGGCAGAAGGTCTCATATCACCATGGATATTATCACATCTCAACAAGTGGCGGTCATTGTCTTTATCAATCGGGAATAATCTTTTTTTTTTAGCTTAGCAACGGTCTAAGGCCCTTGATATTATAGGGATTCAGGCGGGCACATGGTCATCAAAATGAGAAAAGAGTGGATACTAATATCTATGGTGTTGCTCTATTGTATCTCTAACACTTCAAAATCCCAAGATGTTTCCTCACTTCCTCAATTACGTCTTCTACATTTGTCTCAGTAGAGACCCTTGCTAGGATGTGCTGGTCAGGGCGAATCAGAATCCCTCCACCATTAACCAACTCATCGGTGAACCAGCTTTGCCTGACGATTTCGAAGTCCACCCCCAGGCGCCAGGTGTTAAGGCTTAAACCAATCACATTGAGCTGCTTCTGCAAAAGTGCAATGGAAGGATTTTGATGTTCCTTCCCCGGAATCAAACTCCAAGAGTCGGGGCCACAGAGATCGAGAGTACACCACTGGCAAGCGCGAACCTGATCTGCACCAAGCTCCTTGACGTACGACACATCAACGGGCTCCTGAGGCAGCAAAGAACGTTTGGCTACCTGTGCCTCGAGCGAGAGGCGACCTGGGAAGCTGATCCAACCATGAGGCAAGCGCGCCCCAAGCACAAATTTCGGAGAATAGCGGGAAGCATGCGGAGGTGGCTTGGTAGCCCCATACACATATCCAATATGAAGGTCCAACTATGAGCAAGAGTGTGAGCAAGACCGGCCTTTTATAGAAACCGGAAAAAGCAGACAAAGTCACATACATTATCAAAATGCTCCCTCTGGCTTTCAATACCTGCCTCAATCCGTGTACGCTGAGCTGGATCCGCCAATGCTGCCATCATATCCCTTCGTCCTTGCATAGCATCTTCGACACCAGCGGTATTGAGACATTGCAGTAGTGTAAATATCTCCTTGCCGTTTTTAACGCTCTGTTTAGAATACGAATCCGCAACACCGCGTCGTTCGGCAGTGTATGTCGAAAGTATAGATGGTGTCGCCGCTCCCCGGTGAACCAACGCAATCTTATAAGCCAAGTTGTGAACGTCCGCAAACCACAGTTCAAGCCTAGTCCACCAGTTGGGGGAAATGAGTGAGCAGCATCTCCAGCCCTGAAAGAAACCAAAACATCAACAAGGAACACACAGCGTCAATATCCAATTACAAAAACTCACAAAAAGATATTCCCCACCTGGAATGTCAAAGCAACTAGTCGACGGAAGACCCAGGGGCTATAACTCAGGATCTCAAAGGGAATGTCATCTTTACCAATAGCACTGACGATCTTGGCCCTGCACATACCTTCTGTCCACGACTCAACCGGGCACTGCTCAACGTCTACCTGGCTGATATGTACCTAGATCCCATCGAGATCATAGGCGATAATAAAGCCCGCAGCTGTAGGGTCCATTATCCAGTACAGCATACCGACACGGTCACCAACGACGGGCCGCAGATTGGCATTGAAATGAATGGTCATCATTGTCTGGTCTGAGACTTCGCTCTCAGATTCAATACCGAGCAGCTCGCGGACCTTGCTTTTATGACCATCACAGGCTATGAGGTGACGTGACTTTGTGTGATAGAGTTGTCCAGTCGACCGTTCCTCAATTGTCGCCACGACTTCATTTTCATTCTGGTTCTCAGTTAACTGCGTTCCTTCGTTAATAACAAAAATGGCCCGTGTGCTTACCTGCTCCACGGCATGGATACTGAACCCCTTGATCAAGGTAGTGCTGGGATCATTTGCAATAAAGTAAGACAATTCTTGCTCTAGGGCTGGTTGGGGTATATTATGGATCATCTATTTGTTTCAATTGGTATTGGTCAGTGTTACTACCATAATACACTCACTAACTATAGGGGAAAGGTACCTTTGGCGTGTCATTCAAAACCGCGGGATCCATACGCTCATACGGGAGGCTGCCGATCGCGACTCCGCAAAGATTGGTGTGAGAATTCACAGAGGAGCTATCATCTCGCGAAGTGCCTAGCTGGCGCACATGCTTCTCGCCTAAGTCAAATTGACGCAAGATTTCCAAGGAGCGAGGGTTGATCGCGTGGGCTTTTGGAGCAGCCAGACGCTCGAGAAACGCTCGATGACCAATGATTGAACTACGTCGATCACGTCAACAAATATTCCCTACCGAGTTCTCCGCAAGTATCCTTACTACCAAATCGAGACAGAAGGAGGGCCTGCAATAGGCCAGTAGGACCTCCGCCCACAATGAGCACGGGCACATAACTTGGTAAATGCCAGAGTCACCAGTCTGGTGGGATGCAAAGTCTCGAGACGGAGCCATCACCTTTGTCCAATAGATCGCGGCTTATCTTAATTTCTTCCAGAATAAGCGAGTGGCCAGGGCCCCCAAAACCTCATAGTAAATGTAATATTTTATAACTTTATATCTCAACGGCAATGTTCTTCTTGATTCTCCTTTTTATGAATAGTAGTTGAATTTTAAACTCTATATACTAATTTATATATTAATTTTAAGCAAATTGAGTAGCTATATTATCACGATAATTGAAAATTACATTACTAAAAACTAAAAATATATATGTTGTACACCTCAGTCACCAAACCAGTAAACTTATCGAAACTCCCTAAAGAGACTCGATATCATAAAAAAGTCAGCAGGTCAAAAGGAAACGCTCCTATAGATGACAGTTGTTGAGATATCAAGTTGTAATCTATCGCATTTACTATTGAGGTGGCCACTCGCATGTGGTGGCCATTCGTTTGTGAAGTACGTTATGCCAACGTCGGCCAGAAATGCACTGAAGCCGGTGCAGATCGGAAGTCAGGGGCAAAGGTGAGATGGACCTCGGGAGAGAAGCTACATGACTAACTATCTTTCACACGTATTCAGCCCGTTATTACGACACCCACATACATCCATGTATAGCGCAATGCTAGTTATCAGGCTAGACTTGTGATTGGTCCCCAACAGTACAAGGATGCTGAGCAAGACACCAAAAGAATATGTATCAAACCCGTTTTGGCTGGATTTCTAATGTCGAGTACGCTGCTGCGAGACTTATGTATTCGATATTGTCTCGGACTAAAAGGGAATGACCACTAGTTACTATACGCCATCTGTTAAAAAGGGGATTCCCGCCTTATTCCACACGAGGAGGTGTTCAAAGTCACCCTCCCCTTGTTTCAGTCCTCGACACTCATCCTTATTTTTCCACTTTGTATTTTAGAGGACCTTGTTTGATATCTTTAATGTGTCGAGTCACTTACTAAATAGGTCCGAGAAGAAAGTCATAGAGCAGATCCATGCGGCACCTGGAACAGAAATACTGTTCGATGGCGACAATGGAAGCATTTCTGAGCGGCTTCACCAGATGAAGCATCGTGAAACAGGCTATGGCCGCATGTTATTGGTCCCGCAACTTTCGATGGAGGATCCAAATGATCCTCTGAACTGGTCCACCACGAAGAAAAGCTTGACTTTATTTAATGGTTGGTGCGTTTATGGGTGTTATTACAAGAACTGTCCTTTTCCGCTCCGACCCACTCTTATAGCACTTGCTAATAGTTTCCATTTTTGAATCTTCAGCTTTCTGTCGAGATGATGGTCACCATTGCTGCTTTGAAGAGATCTGGACGCGGGTGATTAACGACTTCATCACCTCTAGCGGCGCTTTGAGTGCCTTCATGACAGTGGCAGTTATAAACGTGGTGGTGTACTTGATCTCCATTCCCTTCTATCTCAAGGGCAAGGAGATCCGAACTTGGTTACACCGGAAAGATTTTCTCCGAGTGGCTAGTATCATCTAGGAATAGATGGAGTATATATATGTCCCTGAGTTTACGCAGTTACAAGAATGGTGGACCGCTTATGCGATCTTTATCATGTCTTTTTGGATGTTCTTTTTAGGTGTCTTTTTAGGTGTAAACGAGCTATAAAAAGCATACATCGTGCAAGAGACTTGTATATTCAATATTGGATGGGTAAATATATACTATATCCCCTTTGACTATCGCCATGTCTCAACTTTCAGGTGCAACTTTCTAATTAGAAATCTGCCACTTCCAATGCTTTTCTTGATCACAAAAGAAAATCCCTATTCTTTCTGATTTCTGTACCGAGCTAGTCCACATGTTCATATGTTGGTTTTTATACATCCCCCCGTCACCGACTCTACCCCTATCCCCGCCTACATAGCTTAGGGTTTACCTCGGTGTCTGTCTCGGCGACCATCTCGGAGCTCATCTCGAGATCTTCCTCGGAGCCCGTCTTGTGGGGCGTGTCTCGGCCCCTAGCACCGGCGGTAAGATGGAAGAACATACTATAGCATCCACAGCGGGGATATCTAGTAGTATGTAGCTGTGCAAATGCTAGGAAAGAAAATCACTTAATCCCCAGAAGAAGAATAGTTACATATTGACTCCGAATCGCTAAGGTAAGTAAACGAGAATGGAGGATTTAGGGACTACCTCGGGGTCGGAATTGGAGAGCAAATATTCCACTCCGTAGTTGTAAAGACGCTATCAAATTTTTACATGGAACGCGATACTGAAAATCAGGGGGTTACAAATATCAATCCGGAGTGTTCTTAGTTTCAAATAAAGTTCAACAGAAATATTCTATGATTTTGATTCCTTGCAATGCCCAAAGTCAGGGCTAAGATCTATCAGTAACCTCTTTACAGAAATTACCTAAATACGTAGGCTGGTGTCTATTTGCAAAAGTTATGCCTTGGTGCAACGGTCGATCATCGTTTGTCACCATTATGTCTCGTGAAGAGCTACCCTTCGCGACGATCGCCGTTTTCTCACTTGCTAGACAAATCCTTATAACCAACCTAGTTTCACTAAGAAGATCCACATGCTATACCGAGTCGTACATATTTGTACATCCTTGTTCCTTGGCTCTTCGCTGATCTCGTTTTAAGCCTTACTCAATGTCGACATATACAACGGCTGAAACCACCTTATTTTGCTTGTTGTTGTTGTTGTTGTTGTTGTTGTTGTTGTTAAAGAGAAATAAGAATAATAGGATTCCAATTTATTCACGTCTACCACCGCTGCTCAAAATATCACACCAATGCAGAGCTAGGGATCTGGAGCTAGGGATATGCTCTGGCACAAATATTTTACGTGTTGTTGGAAGTCAATCAAAATCAATAACTGATAAGCCTCTATCATATGTCAGAACTCGGTAGTTTGTGGTTTAGCTCGATGAGGATTGGTTTAGATGAATTGTGATAATGTTTACTATTCAGGGCACATCCCTGGAATCGTCATCTGGCCTTTTACTATGTAACTAGTTACCTAGGTAGGTAATTAGCGGATTGACTGATCAACTTTAATTTAATATGAGCAGACAATCTCTCATTGGACGCACTGGGGTAGCAGACCCTTCAGTGTAATCCTTCCGAACTGTGAGGTACCCTGGTATCTGTATTGAAAAACCGTGCTTCTCCATAGCAAGTATCGACGGGAGGGTCGGTCCCTATTCACCGTGAAGACTTTTATGGAAGCGCATTTAGGCGGTTTCTGAGTCGCTCTGGTGATACCAGGCATATGGATTTCAGTTCTGACTTGACAGTTTTGAGTTTTGCATCTTCTCTTGTTTTTGCGTTAGTTAACTATACTGTGCAAGAACGTGTAAGCACTGTACATCCCCGAAGGCCAGAAATGGACCGAAATACTCGTTCTGCGGTCATCCTCGCCGTTTCTTGGATAGAAACATGCATTGGTTTATTCATTTTCAGCCTTCGGTTCCTGAGTAACTGGAAATTCGTTGGGCGGTTTAGATGGGACATTGCTATCGCTGGCTTGACGGTGGTGAGTGTGACGTTTGGTTTATGAGAAGTTACGATTCCAAGGCATATGCTAATAAATGTTCTTTCTAATAGGTGACTGGGACTACTGCTCAGGTGTTTCTGCAGCTTTCAGTCAATGCTGGGATGGGCCGTCACTTGGATGATCTGTCAGACTCACAGTAGTTACAGCACTGCACTGGTCATGGGTGTTCCAGTTACTCGCAATAACTGCCAGTATGTTAGGAAAGCTTGCGATTCTCGCCTTCCTTGTCCAGATTCGTGGTCGGCTTGAGAAAAAGCCGTGGTTCTTGATAATTCTGGGTGTTCTGATTGGCGCAATCAATACCACTGTTATTGGAACAATTCTGGGTCAATGCAAGCCAATGAACAAGCTGTGGGATGATAGTGTTGAAGGAACATGTAACCCAGGGCGCGAAGTCAACCAGAACTATTCGTTCTTCCAGGCTAGTGAGTTTTCATACACATCGGAGCAGTCAAAGGTTGAGCCTTTGCTAACGAGCTAGGCTTCAACGCACTTAGCGACGTCCTGTTGGCAGTATATCCAGTTCATCTCTTCTGGAAGCTCCAGATGAAGCTGCGAGCCAAGGTTGTCTTGTCTATCCTCATGGGACTGGGCTGGATGTAAGTCTTTCGTACCGACCACTTCAGCTTTTCTCAACCTAACATTCCCCCGAATTCAGAGCAGCACTTTGTTCCGCTGTCAGGACATCTGAACTCAAAGCGTTGACCCAAACTAGAGATATCACCTGCAAGTTGAAATCCACACTTTCGCCTTGAGAAATGCTAATTATCATATCTCCAACAGATGCTCATTCCGATCTCCTCATCTGGGCCTCGACAGAAGCTTGGATCATCATCATGGTCGGCTGCATACCACCCACCCGACCACTTATGGACAAGGTATTGCAGCGACTGGGTTTTATCTCAAAGAAAACGTCGACTCCCTACCAGCACCATGACTTTAGCGGACATGCAAAATATGGCACAAACAAGTCCAACCCGGCCGGCCACTCCGATTTTCGCTCCAACGCATATGGGGGGAGGAAGAAGCCATCTGAAGATGACAGTCCGGGCTGGATGGAGCTCAGCGCATTTGAGGGGACTGGAAGTGAGGAACATATCGTCAATGAGCCAACGGGTATTATAATTAGAACCGATATTGAGACTCATTTCGAGGATGTGGAGCGTCACGGCGGCCCGTCATCAGGGGATAGTAGCATTCCTGCTGAGCATCCGATCCGTGAGGGTATATAGCCTTCGCTGGGTATTTGATCTGTGAGTATAGACATGATGTTCAAAGAGTTGTTCAATGGTGTTCATTAGCAAAGGTGCGTTATATTCTTGGATGATACTTATAGTGGGCCTGTTCATGGCAGCTGAGGTTGTACTATATTTTGTATTATAGATAGTTTAATGTGATGCCGAGAACATTGAGATTGACAATGATATCTAGAATAATTTAAGTGTGTATTGCCCTGACATATAATGTCTAAGGTTGTTCCCTTCGTCCCGGTCAGCCAAGGCTAAAAATATCCCCACATCCCCGCGGATCCCCAACGCCGCCGATAACCGACCTCGGCTCACAGCGACCCTCGTGATTATGACCTTTACCTCCCTCCCGAGGTCACTTTTCCTCCCTTCCTTTTCTTCCTCATAGCATATTGAGCCTATTATTCCTTATTTCACAATGGCTTCTATTATTCGCGCGTTGCGGCCTTTGTCGCGTACCCCCTCAGTCCGCCTAGCGGGCAAACGACTCGCTGCTGGCCGGCCCGTACAGAGGTACCGTCTAGCCCAGGCGAGCACCAATACTGTTAAAAACGTATTCGCTAACAAATTGTCTCCATTTACAGCGTATATGCATTCTCAACCACCCCGCGCCGGCGGGAGGTCGACCTCTCCGAGCTAACGCCGACGCCGATCACCCTCCTGTCCGAGACGGAATCACTCATGGCTGACTCGGTATCGAAGTTCGCCGTGGAGCAAATCGGTCCGAAGGTACGGGAAATGGACGAGACTGAGACCATGGACGCGAAGGTCGTGGAGCAGCTCTTCGAGCAGGGCTTGATGGGCATTGAGGTGCCAGAGGAGTTTGGCGGCGCCGGGATGAACTTCACCGCGGCGATCGTCGCGATCGAGGAGCTGGCACGTGTGGACCCTAGTGTCAGCGTGCTGGTCGATGTTCACAACACACTGGTCAACACCGCAATCATGAAATACGGTGATGCCAAGGCTCAGCGTACCTGGCTGCCTAAGCTGACTACCGGCACTGTCGGCTCGTTCTGTCTCTCCGAGCCTGCGTCTGGCTCCGATGCCTTTGCCCTCCAGACCAAGGCCGAGAAGACCGCCGATGGTTATAAGATTAATGGCTCTAAGATGTGGATCACCAACTCTATGGAGGCTGGTATCTTCATCGTTTTTGCCAACATTGACCCCAGCAAGGGTTACAAGGGTATCACTGCTTTCATTGTCGAGAAGGATACCCCTGGCTTCTCAATCGCCAAGAAGGAGAAGAAGCTCGGAATCCGTGCTAGCAGCACTTGTGTGCTCAACTTTGACGACTGTATCATCCCCAAGAGCAACCTTCTCGGCGAGGAGGGACAGGGATATAAGTACGCCATTAGCGTGCTGAACGAGGGCCGTATTGGTATCGCCGCTCAGATGACCGGTCTGGCTCTTGGCGCATGGGAGAACGCTGCACGGTAAGATTTACACACAATGTAGACCCGCATATGAATCCGATCAGCTGACCACAATCAAAGGTACGTTTGGAACGACCGTCGCCAATTCGGCGAGCTCATCGGAAATTTCCAGGGCATGCAGCACCAGATCGCGCAGGCCTACACTGAGATTGCCGCCGCCCGCGCTCTCGTCTTCAATGCCGCCCGCAAGAAGGAGGCTGGCCAGGACTTCGTCCAGGACGCTGCTATGGCTAAGCTGTACGCTTCCCAGGTCGCCGGCCGGGTGTCCAGTTCCGCTGTCGAGTGGATGGGTGGCATGGGCTTTGTCCGTGAGGGCATCGCTGAAAAAATGTTCCGTGATAGCAAGATCGGTGCTATCTACGAGGGTACCAGCAACATCCAGCTGCAGACCATTGCCAAGCTTCTCCAGAAGCAGTACACGAACTAGAAGTGGTGGGGTTGAATACCTACCTCAATGGCTTTGTTTATAAATAGTTTGATTTTATGCACCCTGCGGCGCATTGTTTGTTTCTCTTATGGGTGTCTACCCATCACCCCCTATGGGGTATACAAAACATGAAGAGCCACCGTGGCCCAACCCTGTGACCATTTCGAATTCGCTCGAAAGCGAACTATAAATGCCAAACTGTGTATACAAGAGTAACGAAGCAGCGCAGATGATGGCCCCAATCATGCTAGAGTGCCCCGCCTTATTTGTAAATCCAACTCCAACGAGGGTATCCAGGTGTGGAGTTCAAGTTGTCGGCTTACTAGTCGCCCATCGAGCCGTGTGTTGTATATGGACCGGAGGTGGGACCAGATCTTCACTGTCAGCTTACTTTATTCCCTCGGCACGGCTGTTATTTCCGTTTTTCTTTCTTTTTCTTTTTTTTTGTGGGAATCAATTTCAATCACGATTTCCGCACCGATTTTGGAATCCAAGAACAAGTGTTGCCTTGGGATCTATAGCATGGATCAGTATGCATGCTCGTATCGAGGTTCTTGAATGGATTTACATGCCGTGTGAGACTGGATCGAGGGTTCCACATCCCGGCCTCAACTCGCAAGACGTTGTATTTTCACCGAGGATAGAATGTCCTTGAATTCCCCCAGTTGCATGGAACTTGCATTATTCATGACGGAGGCGGCCATGAGTACTCGTATGTCGGATCCGTCTGTTGCGATTGAGGCATCGGTTGAACTTGCGGGTACGTTGCTGTGGAGGGTTGGTAGACTCGGGCGGGAGTTTGTTGAGAAACGGGACTGGCACTCGACATGGAAAGTGACCGGCTGCTGTAAGCAAACTGAGAGAAAGACGTTTCGGATTGTGGCTGAGATGTGCGTATTGGTTGTCCTTGATGCATTTGACCATCTATGGAATACGGCTCCATACGATTCGGGAATTCCGCGTCGGAGGCTTCGCCGAGCGATGGCGATCTTGTGGACGGATATGGCTGTTGCCAGTCATGCTGATGAGACTCTCGACGTGCTGCTAGAAGGCCCGATGGTCTTTGAGTGTGGGATGTTGCAGTGAAGTGTGGCGGTAGCAATGCCTCTGTTGTTAGGGTGCCCGGTAATGCACCAGTCGACGCTTCGTCCAAAGACCACCCACTTCGAAACGGAGTCATCGGTTCGTTCGGTGGTGCAAACTCCGGTCGGCCAGTCAAAGAAGCAACTTGATGCTTCAATCGGGTCACTTCGTTCTCCAGAAAGGTATTGTGATGTACGACTTCATCGAACCGTTCGCTTTGGACCCGCATATCTGCAATCTGTGACTGGAGCGTGGAGACCTGAGCCTCAAGTTGTTCTATATGCTCCTTGGTGCGTTGACGAATGGAACGCTGAGCCTCTCGATCGTTGGCACGCTTTCGCTCTAGTTGTTCCACTGAAAGAGTCGAGACTTTCCTTGTCCCTGATCGAGACTCACGCCTCTTCACAGGTGGTTCATCTTGAGAGCTCATGGTTATTGGTTTCCTCGCACATCCGACACTCAAGGCAAATCTCCCCTCCGTTGCCCAGAACCTTTCAAAGAGAACCCCCCGCTGGCGACCATGGACCCAGCAATGGAGCCTAACATGAGGGGAAGTGGTGGATCACTGATTTTGAAAGATCGTGTGTGGGTGGCTCGAGACTATTTCCGGGCCGAGCAGGGATCAAGGTAGAACGTGACAGATAATGCGTATCCAGGGTTAAATTAGCTTAGTTTACTATACGGGAAGAAGAAAATAAGATGTTGCACGTGGTATAACTAGCTATGGATACTTTCAGGGGTTCCAAGGTTCATTATAACCTTCTCGGCAGCGGACTGGCCTTGATAGAACCATGATATTGTCAATCCCCAACACGCATTTTGCTTTCTCCAGATTGATTAACAAGCCAGGCAAATCTCCCGATGATGCGGCGAAAGTCAGACCCCTAAGCGCCCAATAAGCGTGGAGAAATAGACGAACCGTGTGGATAGTTAGGGAGTACGGGGCCATGGCTATAGCGTTCTCTTTTCAGCCACTACGGTGAGGCCCCATTCGTGAGATCCGCTTTTTTTCGATTGCTGCCAAGATGAATGAGCTGCCAATCGAATTGAGGAGTCTTCTGTTGGGCCCCACGTACCATAATGATGAGCATTTACTATACGGAGTACTCCGTATACTACTCCCTTTTCATCTTGCGGCCGACCGCTACAAGTTGATGACTGTTGATCCATCAAGTTAGGGGAGGCAACAGAAAAGCTGCCAAAATAATGTTGTCGGTTTTGTACCATCGGGCATTTAGAAACTATTGATGATCATCGTCCTTGTGGAGATATGAACGGAGGAAATGGCCCACAAGAATCCTTTGGCCCCCGAAGTTTGAACGCCGATACGGAGTCTCCGAAGATTCGCCCGTCCCTCCGCTTTTATGGGGGCCGCCGTTATTCCTAATTTAAATACACAACACTGCTGATTCATTCTATCAAATAATTGTTATTTAACTGTGTTCTAATTTACAGCTTAGTTCTATAGGCCACTTCCGTATAAGAGGTAAGAAACTTTAAGAAAGGTTATAATGCATCTTCTCAAGTGATACCTATAATCCCCGACTTTTTTCCTCCAGGGCGGGCCTCATCAACATGGCATGTCTGAGGTTGGATAGTGTCGATGTTTTTAATAACCTAACCAGGTAACATAAATTAGCGTGCAATGTTCTAAATCAGGACTATAGCCACTAACCGGGTGGATTTTTAGGGTGGACAGATGGATTAACGAATATCAAAATCAAGTACAACATAGTTAGGGTAAGTTGAGTGCCCATAGTTAGTTAGCTCATGCTTCAAGTAAGCTCGCCGTTTCTTTAGAATATCGACCTCCCTACGGAGTATACTAGTAGTCGATGTTATTCAGATGTCATATATTACAGGTGACCCTAGATCGCAAGACTTCTTTGCTACTTCTCATTTCACATTCCTTCTGCTTTAATATCTTTACTTATTCTGTTGCAAATTCATATTCTACGTCGATTGAGCATTTGTTGACTAGTTATAGATTACTAGACTTATGTAGTTGTGGTAGAGGAGAGTATATATAGACCACCTAGGGAATTTTACTAGACCCTCGGAGAATCATCCAAGCATCAGAGCACAATGCTTACCGACGTTCGATGAATAATTATCCGAAACATACACAGGCGCCACATCAACGAGCCTATACGTACAATATAATTGCCATCTATGTGGAGATATGCAAGTGGGGATCGGGCACGGTCATGAAAATGGTGGTCCTCCAGTTTAGCCGACGTGCACGCGGACGTTCGATGGCTCTAGACACGGTCCGTGACCCTTGGCCGATCATTATGGATCCGATGCCGGACTTCAGGTCAAACCCGTCATTCGCCGTGAGCCCCACGGAGTAGCCACCCTAAAACATACGTTTTACACAGTGGCCAGCCGCCCGAATACACTTCATTCTAGTGTGTATGAATAGAAATACGCAGCCACAAATTTATGTCACTCAATTGGAAAGGACTCGCATTCACGGCGAATTAAGGTGACAGCCTGGGCGTATGAATAATGTTATTGACAGCCTTGCAAGGAACATTATCAGACATTGTCTACCACAATGTGGTAGAATATACTCTGTAAGTAGGCACGATATATCGGTCTTCGCCCAATATTGATTGGGTGATCGACCGGGGTTGCCGGGCGAATCATATCAATAAGATACGGCCCCAGAACACCCAGCAAGAATTTTTTTCGAAAATGAAAGTTCTGACATGCTTTACCTTTATTCCAGATCATTCTGTACTTTGTAAATTGCTGCATATTTTTAACACTTTAATAGGGTTTATATCAGGTAAAAAGGCACGCCATTCTATCATAATAACCCTAAGCTCCTTAAAGAAATTAAGAGTCTCTTTAGTAGTATGCCTAGGAGTATTCGGATCTTACTCCCTTCCTAGACGGAAGAAGCCTTCTATCATAGTACGTATAATATAGGATTCACTATATAACTAGGTAGTTATAGGGACTTCTAAAGTGAATCTCAATTGAATCTAAAATTGAATTTGAAGAAAATTGGCAGATCTCTTGGCCGTTAGTTTAGGGGTGGGTGAATCTTTATAGGGTAGACTGTTGTACACAGACCTGGACCTTTGATAAACGAACAAGCCAAGCGAATTACCCTATACGGTTAGTCTCATGGTTCCAGGAACTGACCCATAATACACGTGATATCAAGCGAAAGTAGTGGGTCATGTTAACCAATCATATAACATTTACCAGATTTTGGGACAATCTTAAATGCTTGGCAACAAATCTCTTCTTTGTCAAATGTAAACTTGTATTGATTCACATCATCAAGCATCAGTCTGACTTTTGCTACACTGGAAGGAACAAGGAAGGAAAGATTACACTCACTCATCCTTCCTCTTTGTTTTGTTTTGTCATCAAACGTTAACAGTCATTTACTCGCCACTTCGAGTTTGAATTTTCATCCAAGCAATTAACTGCAGTTTTCTTGAAGAAATACAACAACTTGACCATCATGGAAGGTCTTCAACTCAACAATGACTCTCAGTTGTACTCCACTATGGCTGGGAAGCTGGACTCCAAGCTCCTCAAAGCCCTTGACGTGATTGGATTTACCAACATGACCCCTGTTCAGCAGCGTGTTTTGACCGAACTTCCAAACTGGCGCAGTGACTGCCTTGTTCAGGCTAAAACTGGAACTGGAAAAACCCTTGCTTTTTTGTTGCCTGCATTGCACTGCCTGCTCCAAGGCGATTCCGCGCCACCCAAAGGCAAGGTCGGCATCTTGATCATTACCCCAACCCGAGAACTTGCCCAACAAATTGCCAAGGCGTGCGATCAATTAACTTCGCAACTTCCCACTCCTCTTGAGTGTCATGTTGCAGTTGGTGGAACAGCCCGAGCATCTGCTCATTCGCGTTTCATGAAGGGTGCACCATCCATTCTTGTCGCCACTCCTGGACGCCTGTGCGACTACTTATCTGAAACTCCCACCGCTAAGAAGCTATCTAACATTCAAACTCTGGTCTTGGATGAAGCCGACACGATGCTTGAGAGTGGCTTTATTGCTGACGTGAAGCGAATCCTCCAGCTCATCCCGCAAAAGAGCACTGGGTGGCAGGGCATGTGCTTCTCAGCCACTGTCCCACCCAAAGTCAAGGATGTGGTCAATATTGTGTTGAGGAGAGACTACACCAACATTTCCACCATTGATGAGAATGAAGCACCTACGCATGAGCGAGTTCCCCAGTACCACGTGCTGATGCCGTCTGTGGCAGATACCTTCACTACACTTGCATCCCTGCTTAAGCATGAAATCAAGAAGAGCTCGAAAATCATCGTCTTTGGCGTGACTGCACACATGGTTGCTCTTCTCGCAGGAGTCTTCTGCAAGGGCATGGTTCATTTGAAAGTGTTCGAGATTCACTCCAGACTCAACCAGGGTGCTCGCACAAGAACCACGAATCAATTCAAGGAGGCCGAAGCCGGAATCCTGTTTGCTTCAGATGTTATCGGTCGTGGTATGGATTTCCCCAACGTCGACTTGGTCATCCAGGTCGGTTTACCATCAAATGGGGAGCAGTACGTCCACCGTGTCGGTCGTACCGCCCGTGCTGGTGCTGACGGCCGCGCTATCATTCTGCTTACCGAGGGTGAGTCGTTCTTCATGAAGAACAACCGCCACTTGCCCATCAATCCCCACCCCGATACCGAAGCGATCAATGCCGGCGCTCCTTCATGTTCCAAAGCTGTCTTGCAGGCCATGTACACCATTGAGGAGGAGTCAAAGCAACGTGCCTACTCGTCTTTCATCGGTTTCTTCGCTGGATCGGGTCTTCTGAGACAACTTCGTCTCGACAAGGCTGGCCTTGTTCAACTCGCCAACGAGATGGCTGTCAAGGGCATGGGATGTCCCGAGCCTCCCCCAATGGACAGAAAGGTGATCGGCAAGATGGGCTTGAAGGGTGTTCCGGGTTTCAACTACGCAGACCCAAATGAGATGTCCCGAGGCGGATCCTCCAGACCTCGCAATTCTTCCCGAGGTGGCAAGAGTCGCGATGCACTTAGCCCCGGAGCTGGGCAAGGTGACCGAGGTGGTATTGAGAAGAAGCGTGGAGGAGGCCGTGGAGGCCGTGGAGCACGTGGTGGACGTGGTGGACGTGGAAAGCCGAGATCATGATTCTTTCGCATATTAATGTCAAGCACAGCGTGCTAAAATGTTACTATTCATAGATATTAGAGACTTACGACCTGCTACACAAAATTCCTTAATTGAAACCAAAATTACTTGCGAACAGTTGCCCATATGATATAAATCTGTGAAGTCGTAAAGCCAACCTCCAAGCTAGCCACGGTGTCACAATTGCTTTTGGGTCATCTATAGAAGCAGCCACGTAGGTATTACTACACAAGATTTTGGCGTAATTGACACAGTGTCATTATTGATCTTGACAGTTGTTCTTGGAGTTGAAGACCGTAACTTGGTCAGGTGATCGCGGGTAAACACAACATTTAGAGCTTCAACTCTCCACCATTCATTCCACCACGTCATTCTTTAAATTTGAACATTTGGGGGCGATCAGCTATCTATATTGATAACTGCTTAATATGGATCCGAGCTACAAAGCTCGCAAGGAGGCCTTTGTGTCTAATCTTGCGGGAAGCACAATACTCGAGATCAATGCAGTCACTCTCGTTGCTTCAGTGAGAAACCTCGAGGCTTTACCTAGCAATCGATAGATTCTGACCTGTGACTACTCTAGACATCCGTCCTTCTTTGGTCCGCGCTCCAGTCCCGTCTATCCTTCTTCACCCCCTACGGCCCCGCGGCACTTGCGACGGACTTCATCCTCAATGTACTAGCCATCTTATTCGCGACGACTGCATACTCTTCTGCACCACTTCTCCTCAACATATTCCTCGTCTCCCCCGCGATTCTCCTATTCCTCACCCGAAACAGTTTGCGCACCTCGCAAAAGGCTAAACCGCCCCGCAAACCCAAGGCCAAAAATGAGAGCCCCCAGGAGGGACAGCAGGCCTTGCCCATCCACCCATTCTTGACCACATACCGTGCAGCTATGATGATTGTTACCTGCATAGCTATTCTTGCGGTCGATTTCCGCGCGTTTCCACGTCGTTTCGCCAAGGTGGAGAACTGGGGAACATCTTTGATGGACTTGGGCGTGGGCTCTTTTGTGTTCTCCGCCGGAGTAGTCTCTGCGCGCGCGGTTCTGAAAGGCCGCAACTCGAAATCTCCGAGATTAGCTTTGCATAAGAGATTGATTGGGTCGGCTCGCCACTCCATTCCTCTGCTTGTGCTGGGCCTCATCCGACTGTGGAGTGTCAAAGGACTGGATTATGCGGAACATGTGACGGAATATGGTGTGCACTGGAACTTTTTCTTCACGCTTGGCTTTTTGCCTCCTTTTGTGGAGCTCTTTGACTCCTTGACTACCCTGATCCCGTCCTATGAGGTGCTTGCACTTGGAATTGCAGTACTCTACCAAGTGGCTCTGGAGTCGACTGATCTGAAGGGTTACATTCTCGTGTCTCCGCGGGGACCAGATCTGCTGTCCAAGAACCGCGAGGGAGTCTTTTCTTTTATTGGATATTTTGCAATTTTCCTCGCTGGACGGGGTGTTGGAGTCCGTGTCATTCCTCGTGGTACCTCAGCCACAAAATCGCCACAGAAAGCACGGAACTCTGTTCTGGTGCAATTGGTCCTTCAGGGAATGTTTTGGTCAACCATGTTCTTCTTTAATTCCACCTACGCATTTGGCTACGGTGCCAACATCCCAGTGTCGCGCCGGCTGGCCAACATGCCATACGTGCTTTGGGTGTCCGCATTCAACAGTACCCAGCTTTTCCTTTTCTGTCTGACCGAGACTGTGTTTTTCCCCGCGGTTCACCGAGCGATCAGCAAAGAAGGCGAGGCAGAGCAGACGACGTTTGCGACCAGTCGCATTCTACATGCCTTCAATCGCGGTGGCCTTGCACTGTTCCTGATTGCGAACTTGCTTACTGGGGCAGTGAACATCGGCATTCCAACATTGGATCTCAACACGCCGCAGGCCATGGGCATCTTGGTTGCCTATGCAGCTGTGCTAACTGGTGCTGCTCTGGGGATGGACAAGTACAATATCAAGTTGAGCTTGTAGATATATAACACATAGATATAGTATTACCCAACTTAAAAATCAAAATTATGTATAGAAAAGTGTCTTGCACATAGTAGTACCTTCGTACACATATAGAAAGACGCCTAAAAGGACATCCTAAACAACTGTTCTTGTTTCATATAGAGGTGTTGATATATGCTCCGCATCTGCGGAGATAACTTTGCATGTGATATCATTGGTGGAGCACCATATTCACTCGGAGAATTACGCAAAGTGTTCTACATGACTACAACAAACACTATGCCTACCAACGAACGGTCTTTTCTCAATTATCCTCCAGCACGTGAGGGTCCCAATGTGCCGTACAAGTATGAAGACCAGGTCTTACCGGTCTTCCGTGGCATGCCCCTAGTCATCGGCGCTACATTGTAAGCTACAGGAGAGCGCCACTGAGCGATCGCAACGTGCTAACTACCTGTTGTTTATGTCAGAATCCATAATGTCGGGCTTATCCAAAGTCATTTCTGGCGTAATGCCGGCTTCGGTGTCATTCGTGAAATCCCCCACCTGGGCCAGTATGCTAGCCGCTATGATCCAACGGTGATTCCAGTCGACAATACCAGCCAGGCCGAGTCAGCAGCGAAAACGGCCTCTGCCACTGTGGAACGTAGGAAGGGAGATCATGGATACTATACTTCCGCAGACTATCATGCGCTCTACTCGTCGGGGGAGTTGACCCCAACAGCTGTCATCGAGACGCTATTGCCTCTGGTTCGACGTGATACCCAGCCGCCCGGAAAACACTCAACTGCCTTCCTTGAGTCTCAGGCCGAGTTGATTCATGCGGCAGCGGAAGAATCTACGGAGCGATACAAGAACGGCCAATCGTTGGGTCCACTCGACGGCGTGCCGGTCGCAGTCAAGGATGAGGTGCACCTGACGGGGTATAAACGCACGCTAGGCTCGAAGCTGGATTTCAAGCACGGCACCGATGCGACTTCGTGGTGTGTGAAGCAATGGCTGGACGCCGGAGCTATAGTCATCGGAAAAACGTCCATGCATGAGATTGGTTTTGGTGGGTTCCCATTGGTCATCGTGGAGTTTCATCTGCAGGTAGTAGCTAATACTCTTTAGACACGAACAACAATAACCCCAACTATGGAACACCTAGGAATCCCCACAACAAGGAGTATTATTGTGGTGGTTCTTCCGGTGGCTCTGGATATGCTGTCGGGGCGGGCCTTGTACCCATTGCGCTTGGCGCAGACGGCGGAGGCTCAATTCGGATCCCGTCATCATTTTGTGGTATCTGGGGTCTAAAACCTTCGCATGGCCGTGTCTCTGGCGCGCCATCCCAAAGTCTTGCACCCACCGTTGGTGTTATCGGGCCTATGGCTGCCAGCATCGATGACCTTGCTCTTGCATATCGTGTAATGGCCACTCCTGCGCCAGCTTCGGAAGACCCGATCTCATCGCAATTCCCCTACCCTGTTCGTCAGAACTCTGAAACCAAGAGGACGAAGACGATTGGTATTGTCCGAGACTGGAACGACCGCGCCGAGGGCCCTGTTCGCGCTGCACTTGATCGGGCGCTCGACTACTACCGCGAACAAGGCTACAACGTTGTTGATATCGCAATTCCTTACTTGCCCGAGGGCCAGCGTGCCCACACTCTTACCATCATGGCGGAGATCGCATCTGGCGTTGATGCAAGCAAGATCCGGCACCTCACAGCCCCGAATAAAGTGCTTGTCTCCATGGGCATGTACCAAGTTACGGCACAAGACTTGCTCGCCTCCCAGCGGCTGCGTAATCTCCTCATGACGCATCTCGCGCATCTCTTCAAGACCCATCCCGGACTGCTCATCGTCTCGCCCACAACGCCCATCCCTGGATGGCATATTGACGGTGGTGAGGCGGACTTGTCTCGCGGTTTGTCGGATGCCAAATCCTCTGTACGCAATATGGAATATATTTGGCTTTCCAACTTTTCTGGCTGCCCTTCTATCAGTTGCCCTGTTGGTTACACTCCCGATACCGGTGTGCCTATCGGTTTGATGGCTATGAGCGAATGGGGTACCGAGGAAGAGCTGATCGCCTTTGCTCGAGATGGAGAGCCTATCTTGGGCCTGGCTAGCGGCAGTCCCTCGCTCGAGGAAAATGGAATCGACTCCGCAAGTAAGGGTCTACGAACTCCTTCTGATGACCTCTCTGTGTGGGAAGATATCATCGCACAGGCCAAGGAGAAGATATCCAAGGAATGAGAAGGAAGATTCTAATCAACAGTAGAAGGATTTGTGTCATTTAGTATATCCCCGTATATTTATTTACAAATTACATATCCCTAGTTCCTATCTAGCATCAAATGGCCACATCTTATCCGCCTTCGCTACTGTCATATCTTCGCCACGGGACTCGGCTTCTTTGGCAGTCTGTATCCATTCATTATACGCTGTGCGATGAGCAACCCTTGCAGCGTCCCATGCATCGTTCGAGATCCACCCGTCAGAATTTGTATCAAGGTTGTCTCTTAGCCATGACTTGAGTGCTTGAACAGCCTCAAAATCTTCATAGTCTCGAGCATGCTGTTTCAATTCCGCTTCTGTGGGAGAATATGGACATGAGCCCTTTAGCCCTAGTTCCACCCAGCGAGCTGAAAGCTCAATTAACTCTTGGCGGACAGCGACAGCGGAGTCTCTCCAAGTTGTATGACAGTAGTGGAAGAGTCGAAAAAGAGTCGGATCAAGTAATCTTGCAGGACGAAGTTTAGGAACAAGGGCCGTCATAACCACATCATATGTTTGATAACAGACGGATGTATCCTTTAATTCTCGTTCCTTTTGTCTAGAAATTTCCGTTTCATTTTGTTCGTTCTCGAGTGGATCTTCCTCGGGGACCCTTGGGGGTGTAGCGAAATCAGGTGTCTCGTTGGTATAAATAAACGCGGGCTCAATGCTGGTCGATTGCCAATCTATCAGGCCAGTGATAACGGTTGGTTCTTCGGCAGAGACGTAGATATTCCTCTTGTGAAAATCCGGGTGAAGCAGAGCTGGTGTAGCTGCATCCTCAATGCGATTATCTTCAATCAACTTTTGTATCACCTCTCGACTTGTTTTCAATAGACGGACGTGATCTTGAATTGATCCTTGATATGGCAGAAGCTTGCGATTATTAACGGCTTCTTTGGGCAAACGAGAGAAACCGGTATCTATCAAACCTCGACAATAACTTGTGAGATCTCTCCAAGGTCCGCAATTAGGACTTGGGCCACGATAGAGTTCATGTTCGCCCGGATTTCGGTTCCAGAAAACCGGACTGCAATGTGGTCCCACACAGAAGCCCTGCTCGAAGGGAATCTTCAAGTCCGAGTCTAGAGGCGCATCGGCGAAGTATAGACTGCCATAGGCCGGGAAGTCTAGGGATGCCATCTTTTTTATTGTCAATGAAAGCGCTTTGGTGCATAGCATATGTTGTTCCGGGTTCATTTTATGCCACTCTTGATGTAATTGAACACCCGCCACATGCTCCTGGATGATATATTCAGTTCCAGTCGGATTGGAAGGATTATCATTCCAGTCGAGAATTTTCGGTATCGGAAGCGAGATCTTGGATTGTACTATACAGACATAAATTAGTGAGCATGTCAGCCATACCCTCAAGGATAGGGGATGCGGCTTACAATAAGTTATCGTTGCAACTTCAGAGTTGGTCGTTAACCTTGACGGGCCAGCAATACCGGTAGGTACCCTTGCCACAACACAAGATCCATTGTCCATTGTTAAAAGGAAGACTCTGTTGAATCCACCTTCTCGCTTCTCATATTTAACAACGCTGGTGGCTCCTGGGCATGTGTAAATAGCCCGCTCACACAGCGCCGAGAAGTCAAACATAACGTGGCGAGAGTTTCGCTCGAGCTCATCGATTGAGCCATCTTCCACCGGTGTAGGAATGCGGATCATATCCTACAATGCAAAGTCAATGATACATTAACTCCTTGGTCAAGGCCGGTGAGTGTATGCTACTAACGACGAGTCAGTTCTTGCGAATCTGTCCTTGGGGATGTGCTGTCGAGCCTTGCGCTGTTCTTGTTTCCCATGTCGGATAATGTTCGAGATGGGCAACGGAATCGACAATGCTGAATTATTGACGAAGGGACTCCCAACCGCCAGACTCGTAGCATATCAGACTGCTGGTCTTCTTTTTCCAGATTCAGATTGTCAGCTGCAGGGGAGCTCGAGATTGGAGGTCTGAAGCTCCTTCATGCGGCTGATTGTTTTACCGTCTTGGCAATCACCCACACCTGCGATCCAAACTGCCTACTGCCTACTGCCTACAACATACCAATTATCCATAAACATAAAGTTTTTGTCATTCAGTATATCCACGTATATTTATTACGAGAGCAGTCTTTACTTCATCCGAACTAGATACATCTCATTCAAGCTTGTCTGTATATTGTCCAACTCTCTCTTCCTCGGATTTTCAAATCTCCTCAGTCAGGTCAGCCTTCGTGTTATTCGTTGCCCGAGGCGTACGTGCATCGGTGCACCATCCTTGGGGTGCGACGTCGCTTTCCCAGTGGTATACATTCGTTCACCCTCAACAGTCCGGCGATCCACCTTCAGGCCCTGTAGTTCCCGCATCTTATCCCACTTATCCCAGGCCATCTCAATATCAAAACTACGGACAGTAAATACCAACACCAATTTCAGCACAACGACCGCCAGTTCCTGCCCAATACACTTCCTAGGCCCAAGCTGGAATCCACGCCATATATTCTTTGCCGGATGCGACCTGTCGCCTTCCAGTACGGAAAATCGCTCGGGCATGAATTTGAGCGGATCGACGAAGTTAGCTGGATCATGGTGAATGGTGATAGAGCTGTCAAAGAGATCGAATCCGTCTGTCGGCCATGGGTCGTCCTCGCCGTTTATTTTCAGGTTGAATGAAGGCTGACCTTCCCGGATTGTGATCGTTGCTGGATTCATCCGCAATGTCTCCTTGATCACACCCAGGGTATACTGTAATGAGGCCAGGATATGGGGTGCTTCCCGGATCTTCTCTGCGGCAAGGCTTGGATCAGAGCCAAGAATAGCGTCATGTTCGGCTTGTAACTTCTTGACACATTCGGGGTTTAACTGAAGTTGTCTGAATACACGGGGAATCGTGATACTAGGCAACGCATCATCACCGCCAAAGAAAAATATCATCAGCTGGTAGAAGACTTGTTCGATGAAGGCTTCATCTGGGGTATTGGTGGCGGTTCCCTTAACTCCAAGCTCACCAGTGTACTCTTCAACTGCAGACCGAATTATAGTTCGTGGGCTACCGTTGGTGGAAGCTGCTGTTGGCACTCGACCGCACCTCGGTATCAGGTCTTTGAATAAATGCAGATAAAGACAGTGCAAATGTGGATAGGTATATTTTATAGAACAGGTTTGTCTAAAGTTTTTAAAATGGCTCTCTAAAGAAACCTAAAGCCTGGTAAACTGATTAGTACGTAGGGTGTAGGGCTAAGACTTGAAGTAGAACAACCGACTATGTCCGGTGGCTTTTCGTCCGTCGGATTAATTCTCTACGTCGAATGTGAATGTGCACCAAAAGTAGTCGTTGGCTCCGAAATGAAACCCAGGTTAATATACATCAAATGACGAAGACGCTGCATCGAAACAAACAAAAACAAAAATCCTCCTCGTAGTAATCTCGTGAATGTTAAATCCATATTCCCTCAAGAGGATTCGGAATAAAGAATTCACAACCTAGGTGGGCTGCTTCACCATGATCCTGGAGCTCCCTCAGAATCTGATCACTAGGATGAGGCCCATCAGTAAGATTCTCCTTGATGTGAATAATGTAAACCTTTAATCCTTCCAGAGGAAGGGCCGCAGTATCATCCCAATTCTCAGGGTCCGGGTTTGCCAGAACATCTCCGATGTCCACTGGGGGTATCTGAGGAATCTCGAATGACTCGCTCGGATGCGATCGAGGCTCAATAAGCGGCTCGGACGTCCTGCCTTTATCGGCAGAGGATCTTGGAGTTCGCTTCGACCGAGGGCTCACTTGCTCACTGCCGATCTCGACGGGGCCTACAATTTCACGCTTGCGTTTCTTCTCCCCCATGTTGTTCGGATCCCGCGCTTCTATGACTTTATTGGCTAGCACGCTGAGCTCGGACACTAGATGCCGTGGGCACATGTGGCCGTACAAATATGAGTCGTCGGTGCTGTCATTGTAGGAACATTCGATGAAGATCGCTCGTAACTTGCCAGTAGCAATTTTCGGTGCGGCGGCTTCCCATACTCGTTTGTTGTGAGTTCCCATGGAAACCGAATCCGGCTCGACGTCACCGAACACGATGATCTCGTGGCCGGTGTGATGATCGCGCAGGAAGAAGGCAGAGCTCTCCACTGTTGTCATCGCTGGCTCTTTGGGGTTGGGTGGGAGTAGACGTGGGGAGCGAGCGGGAGAATAGAAACTGGCAATTGTTAAGATCATTTCGTGTAAAGATTGCAAATTTCAACTTACCTGCCATCAGTATAGTCGACTGAAATCGCCCTTGAAGGAAGCATCAATTGATGATCGGAAAAGATGGTACTCCCGACTCGGTGATGCGTTCCGCTTTCTGGATGGTATCGCTGCTTGCACCGACCATGGCTAACGCTCAAGCATTTAGTCAATAGGCCATTGCAGGCCCTGACATAGCCTCTACTGTCTCCACGACCGAAACGAGGATTTCCACCTTCCACCAAGCGCTGGTATGTAAGCAGACCAGCCCCACCATCCTCGTCCGACAGGTTAGGCCAGATGACATCGTTGAACATATGGTTTTTGAGAGCGGATAGCACGGATGGCAAAGCAGCCACAGGCTTTGGTCCATTGCCCGCCTCCAAAATCGGGGTGTTAATGGCCAGCCCTGAGATATGATCTAGATGGGGGTGTGTAATGAGAACAGCCCCGATGATTTCGCGAAATACGTGAGCTGCATTTGCCTGTGCTGTTTTGCAGGGCAATTCAAGCCCCTGAAAGGGCCCGCTTGTCATCACCCCCCGATCATCCTTGCATTCGGGGATGTATCGTTCCAGCAATCGGATGATACCTGCAAGAAGGGTACCTGCATCAACGGCTACCACCGAGTCTGAAGACCATTTCGTTGACGTCGACCGGACAAGAATGCCCGTGACGCTATCTTCGCGGGGTCCACCAGTCGGGCCCTGAGAGAGTCAGCATCCAGCAAAAATAGTAGTTGCAGGGTTCTATCTGTTAGAACCCGTCAGGAAAGTTGACTAAACAACATTTGATCGGCAAGGTATCTATCAAAGCTCGACACATGGTCCTGTACGTGACGGGTCCTGCAACAGACAAGATACAAATCAACGGGTCCTAACTTACCAAGACAATGACTTGGAATGCTGCTTTCTCAGCCACTGCTTTACTTGTCTCGCCCATCGTGGACAAGTGAGACACAAATGGTAACTTAGACCGGTCACAGCCCAAGAAGCGAGTGAAGCCACCCGAGCGCGCCTAACCCCCAATAGTAGGCGGGTCGCAACGAGAATGTTTCACGAAGGCTGAAATGGATTGGTTGATGGTCAAACTGTGGGATAAGAGAGGCGGCTAATAAAGGCTGGGGGCCAAAAAGAAATTACGTGGCGACACGATAATAGCGCGATTCAGACCGTTCAAAGATATGATCCAGAACCAACAGCCCTTTTTATATCATGTGTCATACACAGAGTAGACCTATCTCCCTATTCTCTAGGGAGTAAGTAGAGTTGACCTCGACAATCAAGAGGGATAGAGACACGGCGCGAAGCCACAGAAATCCGGAGGCTGGGTCGGCAGAGTGCAGATAAGAGAACTCGGATTTCGTGGGGTTGATGCTTCCCCAGCTCGTATCACAATGGGGCGCGCCTTGTGCGTAGGACACTACTGCAAGCAAACTGCAGGGGCTGATTGGATGATATTTGTTTCAGGTGCGCAAAGAGAGGTTTGGTCGGAGACACCGGGAGTCCTGGAGTCCTGGCAGTGGACCAGAGTGGACTCTAGTGGGGTATGATCGGAAAGGAGCCACGGATACGGAGTGCGGAATGAAGATCTGGGGTCTAGTGAGATATCAGATCCGCTAGAGGGGAGATTTAATGTCCTTTGAAGGTGTGCGATCAAGATCTTAGATATTGCCAAGTTTATCGATGACGTTTATACACTATGATCTCACTTAGACCCGTGGACACCTTCAAAGGATTATTACATTGCACAGATTCAGATGTTCTTTGAGATAGTGAAACAATAATAATCGAATCAGTCACATTGTGTAGTTGATCGGCATGTAACCTGTCAAGAGATCTGCCGACCGAATTTCAAATAGATGTACATATTTAACATAAAAAGAGGGTATGCGGTCAAAAAGGGCCAAGGATAGCAAAAACGACTGTGCCCTTCCTTATACATGAAATTCCACTGCCTTCCCCAAGGGTAAGGGATAATACGGACACAAAGTCCACTCCGATCCAGGCAGAAATAATCTCATAAAAACCAAGAATCTGCCTTCGCCAACTGCTATAACGCCTTCCGTGAGCCCGCTAAATAAAAACGACAAAGAAATGATCAGACAAAGCCCCTTATACGCCACGGGGATGTTTTAAAAGCAAAGTGGGGGAATAGATGTTGCATCAGGACCGATCGTTGGCCTCTGAGTTGTGTTCATCCACGTCTCTTTCCACCACAGTTTGGTAACTTGGTAGAAATTGACCACCAGAATCCATGGAGTCACTGGATGGAGAGTCGGGGTTCTCGGAGGACCTAAAACTAGGTAGGCAGTCAGAGGCATCACTGCCCCTGCGACTGCCGTCGGGACTAGAATACTCTGGCGGTGGGGCCTCTGGCTCTTGATTATCGGGGACTACCGCATCATTGCCCTCTGCATTGGCCAAAGCAAAACGACTGGACCCCTCGCCAGCATCTTCATGAGAAGGAATGTGCGTCAGCTGAGCGAGGGAAATGTCAGTTGGTGATCGAGAAGGACCCGGGCTAGGCGCCGGAGGAATCCTAACACTTGAGCCTGATGCCGCGTAGTTTGCATTTTGGTAAATGCGCTGGGAGATTTGAGCCGCACTCTCGCGGCCGGACTCAAGCAGAATGCTGCCTTGTTCACTGCCATAGGGTGGCGGCGGGGCGAGGCTACCAGTCATGGGGGCCAAGCCCCATTTTTTGACATTGCCTTCGATGAACACAAATCCCATTTGACCAAAGTTCACGTGGATAGTGCAAGGCCCATTAGCACCGATGGTGGGGAAGAGGTTTTGTGAGCGATAGTTGTGAGCCACATCTTCCAATTTCTTGCCGTTGCGTGTGAAGAAGACGGCGCCAGACCGGGGTCGGTAACCTACACCAACAACATCTCCCTGAAGTAGTGGGGGCCCGTACGGAGTCGGATTGAATGGTTGGTTAAGTCTGCGATGTCCGGTGGATTGGTAGGCAACAGAGGTTTTATGGAAGCCTAGCGGTCGTTAGCGGGGTATTGCTCAATGGAAACACTTCTGTTGCAACACATACCAGGCATTCTGAACAGGGGGTATGGCTTCGTAGTCACACCGATGCCAATCATAGTCGATTCAGGTTTATCATATATCTTCGCCTCCCAGTAGTAGACATCATTCTGCTTGGGAATTGGCAGATTGGTCTGTACACTGCACTCCGAATCAAAGAACTCAATCTCTGTTCTTCCTTCCACAAAGCAGTTCGCAATTTCCAGTTCCGGCTGGAATTCCCAGGCAGATACACCTTTTTCCTGGATCGCGAGGAACTGTGATAGGGAGATGTCGGTTTGCACGGACTCGGGAGGGTTTCCTTGGACAAAGGCTGCAGGCCATTAGTAAAATGATCAAGAACGACTCGGGCGAAGATTCATCTCCAGTCTTACCTTTCGCTCGTAAATATTCCGATCGTGCCAAGTCATCCATTGACTCTAAAGCTGCCTCTTCCTCGCGTAAAAACGCTTGCTCGTCATCGTATTCACCGGGCCTGCCAATGCGATCGAGCATAATCCGCCCCCGACGGGTATATTTGAAAAAGAAAAAGATCGCTAGTACAATAAATGCAACGGCGGCCGAGCCAAACGCGGACAAGATCCCAATCAATATGCCTTTGCCGGTTGACCCGGTCGAGTTGCCACTGGTCAACATCGGCTCGGGACTGAACTCCATCGACAAAGAGGAGAAAACATTTTGTAGATTCGCTTGGATTTGCTGTTGCGAAAGTGATGGATCGCTTTGTATCGGTGTTGGGAGTGGTGTTGAGACAAAGCCAATCGGTGACGTCGTCGGATTGCCTATCACCGTTCTCAGGGTCGATGGCAGGCCTGCGAGCGCATCGGGGCCCGAAGCCTCAGGACCCTGCATCGTTCATGTGCCAAGCGAAAGTACAAATAAAGAGAAAAAGTCGAGAGAAGTCGGGAAATATTAAGATGTGGTAAAGAGGAGGTGAGTGAGTGAGAGGAGAGAGAGAGAGATAAGTGGGCGCAGCGGATGTAAAATGGGCGGGTTATCTAAGACGTTTTCGGCCCTGGAGAACCTGACTAGAGGGCCTGTGGACTAACAATGCAAGGTAATGTAGAGTTGGTTCCTGGATTTGAAGATCCTAGATCCTGAAATATTCAAAGGAATCTGATGTTCTTTTTCCTTTTTTCAAACAAATATTGACTTTTCATTTTGCTCAAAGCAGAAATACATGTAACTATAGTAGAGTGTCACACACCTGGGGCTGATATGGTCTATCTATCCCTACTCGGGATAAGCTCTTCTCTCCTCTTCCCCTCTCTCCTAGCTCCTTGCTTGAGATCCCTCTCATCCCCTCTCTTTGAAGTTTCTTTTAAGACCTGAAGAAAGAATGCGTGCAACTAGAGCTACCCAAGGGTCTACGGCTCAGGACGTCATGATCAATCCCCTCGACTCCTATAATATCCGCGTGGTGACACCTACCTCCTGCGATAAATATCCAGGTGAGTACACTTCTCCCCTAGGGTGAATATCGCACGGTCGGAATGCCTTTATTTGACCACCTTTGCCCTCTCACATACCTGTTTACTACTCCACTGAACCCCAATCGGTGATCGCGTGAGACTCGAGCTGACCTAACCGCCCTCGCCAGCCAAGCACCATGCGCGTAACGTCGCCCGGAAGCTCGGAGCTTCGAGCGGCTTGATTTTCCTCTCCGGACAGCCGACAATTAATCTGCGCGATTCAGACCAATCGCGCCCATTCCGACAACGACGATACTTCTACTACCTAAGCGGAGTCGACGAGCCCGATTGCGCTCTAACGTACGATATTGGACAAGACCTGTTAACTCTTTATATCCCTGATTTTGACCTTCACCGTGCTATTTGGATGGGACCGACCCTCTCACGAGAGGACGCACAAGACAAATACGATGTGGACCATGTGCGGTATCATGCCTCGCTCAAATATGAGCTTCAGCTGTGGCTGGATGGACGAAAGCAGGGCAGCGAGCTATACCTAATCCATGACTCAGAGAAGCCCCAGCATCTACCAAAAGACCTACCTTTGGACCTAGAACAACTTGCGCCTGCTATGGACGCAGCCCGAGGCGTCAAGGACGAATATGAAATCCGGATGATCCGCCAGGCCAACAAAGTCTCGGGGCTTGCCCATCGGAGAATCCTAGAGAGTATCCAGACTATGTCCAATGAGGCGGAGATTGAAGGATCGTTTTTGAACACATGCATCTCGCACGGCGCCCGCAACCAAGCATACCAGATTATCGCAGCATCGGGGCCCAACGCGGCTGTCCTGCACTACGGCCGAAATAACGAATCTCTCAACAAGAAACCCCTCGTCTGTCTCGATGCCGGCGCAGAGTGGAACTGCTATGGAAGTGATGTGACGCGGACCTTCCCGCTTACCGGCGAGTGGCCCAGCGACTACGTGCGGGATATCTACAACATAGTAGAGCGAATGCAGGAGGAGTCCATCCGGCTGATCCGGAAAGGGGTACGATATCTATCTCTCCACGATCTAGCCCATGACATTGCCATCGAGGGTCTCTTGGCTCTAGGTGTGTTCAAGAACGGCACGAATCTCGAGATCCGTCAATCTGGCGCATCCAAGGTCTTCTTCCCGCACGGTCTGGGTCATCATGTCGGCCTTGAAGTTCATGACGTGTCGGAACGGTCAATTATGGCTCTTCACCAGGGCTTCGATCAGCTTCAGTATCACCCGATCTTGAACTCTACCTGTCTTTCGCCTTGTACTCTTTCTGCTCCACTGCTGGAAGAGGGAATGGTTGTGACCGTTGAGCCAGGGCTTTATTTCTCTCCTCTGGCAATGGCCAACGCGCGCCACCAGCCACTTGCCCGGTACATTGATTTCGATGTTGCGGAAAAATATGTTCATATTGGTGGAGTGCGCATTGAAGATGATATTCTCGTGACTGCTACTGGGTACGAGAATCTCACAACTGCACCCAAGGGCGAGGAAATGCTTGCCATTATTAGAGGATCTACATAATATATAGAATTTAGTATAAATAGCGACATGCGGGGGACATTAGTTTGTATCAGATTCTGCAACATGACTAAAATGTATTTTGCATTAGACGGAGACACTCGAGGAACTACACATAGAATGTGACCAGCCTAGGAGTTACGGAGTACATCGCTTCTATACAACATAGGATGTAGACATTGGTGGACAAGTTAACGAGACGTCCAATAGTGTCATTAGTTAACAATACAAGGCCGTTATACATGTAGGGCGGCTATCGCACGTATGTCGTTGCACGAGATCGAGATACTGTCCATAGAACATGCCCAGGTGCTTCGCAGGGTTGAGATAAGTAGTGTGCTAAACCGACGAGGCCTAGCAGAAAAGAATCCTAAAGCAAGGCCATATACGGTTTTACCTTGATTGGAGGAAGATTTTGCGCTTTGGGAAGGGTCAGAGTTGAATGTGCATATTTCAGCCTCTTGTTCGAGCGATAATCGAAGGAGAAGGCTATTTCTAACACTTTGGAATATATAGTCAGGTCCTAGGGCCATTACAGCTAAGTACCCTTTACTTGAACTTGGCCACGGAGACCATAATAGACGTAACGCGAACCGCTACTTTGTAGGACTGTACCTAGTTAGTTATAGTATGGCCGGGTTTCATCAGGGGGTCTTGCGTATCCCGGCAATTGCTTGCACTCGAGATTGGCTCCACTTGGTATTTACATCCTTTGTACATATCTATTTGCATTGTTATCCCCTTTTATGTGATGATAATATTTGCATAGTACAAATGAGAGGCTATAAGTGGGGGAAGACAACATGATGGATAGTTGGTTAACTAACTAGTTAACTAGGTATTGCGACATGTTGGCATTCTCCCCTGAATGCTACATATTATAGATCCGCTTGGATGTGAAATGCAAATGTCTTTCTTTTATTGGACAAGGGTTAACAGCGAACGACTTCAAACTGATCTATAAAGAAAACGCTCATGCTCATAAAAATACTCCATAATCATTCCATGACTGCAAGGCTGGAAAACAAAAAGTATGAAGGAACCGTCCAGTATTTATGTACATCCCATCCCGGTCATCGGTTGCGATTCGGGCTTCATTTATGTTCTCACAGGGGTTTTCGTAGATCGAGTTGCTGCAGTACTCGGTGGTGTTCCTTTTTCAAGGCTTTGAACTCATCGTCTAGCTGATGGTGCCATGGGTATAGGACGAAGACTTGAAATGCCAACGCTGAAGAGGCAACTCCAAAGTTGATGAGCGAGATTCCACGCGTGATCCACATGGCGAAGCAGACTGAAGACTGATCAATCAGTGGTTGGGCTGAGAATGAGTGAATAGAAGACTTACAGTGGAGGAAAGAGAACGTTATTATTGTTAATGATGGGTGTAACGCACCTTGGATGGGTTATAAGGTGTCAAACAGAGGGGGACCTTGAAGGAAATATAAGTAAAAGGGGAAGTTGAAATTCCTCGTTCGTCGAATTCGTCGAATTCGCCTGACACCTATAAAGGTCAAGTCGATTCCGGCAGGAACTCCGATCAGTGGACCTGTGAATTCAATGAATCAATGCCAAATAACCAAATCCGGTTAGAGTGGAGGAAAGTGGAGAAGGATCGTTGCGGCAGAAAGTTTCACCGACCCAATTTCTTATCTGCCGGAGATCGTTCGTATCAGTCGGATCCGAAGAGATAAACAATATTCAGCTAAACTTCAAAACACAATTGACCCTTGAAAACCTCCAACCAAAAGGAAATCCATAAGAAGTGAGTAATTCCTTAATTCTCCACATGGAATCATACTAACAACTGTCTTCCTAGATCACCTTCTCCCAGCCTTGAGACAACTCCCAAGTTGCAGACCCGAGTACATCCAAACAATGGAATCCACCTACCAACAAAGTAAACCGCAACAGCTGCTCAGTTGGGTAAGGGAACAGAAATACAAGCTTGCTGGTGCCACGTTTGTTGCCAGCATGGTTGGTTCCTTTATTCTGGTCGGTCGCAACCCGTACCTGACCGGTAAACAAAAGATTGTGCAGGCCCGTGTGTATGCACAGGGTCTAACGCTGGCTGTCATTGTTTCGTTGGCTGCGCTTGACATGTCAGACCGAAGAAAGCCATCTATCGCCCCGCGGAAGGAACCTACCAAGCAGTCTGATCCCGAGAACTAAGGCCAGGAATTTCCAGGAGAGTTATCATTCAATCAGGGCGGGAAAATATAGAGACTTCGATATGTTGTACATTAAAGTTTAGTATATTATAGACCGGTGGAAAATATGCATTCTTGCTAGCAATTGAGAGGTTGAGTAATATTTCACGACTCTCGGCGTGGTAGGAAATAGGAAATCAGCAAACGCGTCTAAAACAGCAATTTTGGGCAACCGATTTAGTATCAATTATCTCCGTGGTGTAATTGTTTTATAACCCAGATGGGAGATGTAGGTCTAACAGACCAGTCACAATAAACTCTTAGAATGCTTTGTATACTTTTCCTCGATACTCAAATCATACTTTGGAATTATGCATAATGTTGCGTTTGCGCGTCTCCAACTCATTGAAAGAGATCTGGCTCCCGCGTGTGATATCTGGGATACGCATATATATATATAGATTTAGTATATTCAAGGTGAATACATCTACCTTGTGGCATGGTCACTATGTTATTTCCTTGGACCGAGGTCCCTGGAAATCCCGGGTATCTCCATCCATGGCCTTTGTCGGTGGTGCTAAGCATAGAAGGGCATAGGACTCCTCTGACCGAGTAAAGTATATTCATAGGTACGATAGAGGCTCTATTCGTAGGAAAGGAGCTAATGACGCTTCGAAAAGGGATAAGGTTTGAAGATTCGCGAAAAGCGTAAAGAAATATATAAAAAGTAAGCTCCTATTCAAAGGTTTGCACGGTTTAAGGACAGGCGAGAGAGTTTCGTTAGTCAAGCCTATGTATATAGGAAATCTACCAAAAAAGCTCTTAATCGATATATCCCTCGGGCTCTCTCTTTTGTAACCATTGGCCTAACAGGACGATCTTCATTTTCAGGTGGGTTAGTCCACGTCTGCTCCTTCGACGTTGCAACAGTTTATGTAGCGAGATATGGACCTACCATTTCAGGTCAAGTAACTGGTTCTCGTCAGTGTCAATGACTAGCAAGAGGATAAGGACAACGAATATTGTGCCGTGTAGAAGGGAGAAACATCGCCAGAACCACCCTAACAATGAATGGGACCTTATAAATAATCTGTTATTTATTTTGTCTCGTTATTGGTCACTTTCTGCATATTTTTGACAATCTTCTGCTCCTCTTTACTACCCCAGTTATACTAAGCAGCCCTATCCTTTGCCCTTTCAGCCCATCGATCTTAAGGGATAAATAATCTACGTAATTAGAAAGGGTAATCATTCTAGAGTTACCAAAGACTTTGACTGGGCCTCTCACAGTTTGGCACTTTGTGGACTTGCAAGGTATACCTGATGGGGAAGTAACAAAACATCCTCCAGGCTGAGTGATTCAGTAACATTTAGATCATAAGAGGCTTCAGTGAGTCGAAGTCAGTAGGAATATAGATGTGGTCGTATTTTGCCGGATGAAGCGTAGGGTTGAACGCATGTTTCAGGACAATATCACAGGTATCTTCCCCAATTTGACATGGCGTCGTCGGGGGCAACCGTCTATATCAAATAACGCAAGCGTAAATGACTATTCTTGTGGGAGCAGAGTCCATATCGACCGTGATGAAGAATAATGCTGGAGGTATATGGATGGATGTAACCGTGAATAAGCGACGATGATTGGATTTATGTCATCGGCGCCGATGTCGGACTTGGTGGGGTTGAACCTGAAATTCACCCGCCTTTATATTCTGAAGCTGCCGACCTGGATAATTGAGTCAATCATTTTTCTTCATATTACTACATAATGTCTTCCTTCAATGTCGTCGTCTTTGGTGGTGACCACTGTGGTCCCGAGGTATGTCATTGAAAGCTCTTGTGGGGAAATTGAACACCGGACTGACATTTAGAGAATAGGTGACCGCTGAGGCTGTCAAGGTAATATTACAAGCTGGACTTGTGCGGAATACACGTACTGATTGAATTTCAGATCCTCCGGGTCATTGAGAAGTCCCGCGGTGTTACTTTCAACCTTCAAGACCACCTGCTCGGTGGTGTGAGTATACCCCACACACGCAACGAGAGCTCAATGGCTAACAATCGCAGGCCTCCATCGACGCTACCGGCTCACCCCTGACCGACGAGGCCTTGAACGCCGCTAAGAATGCCGATGCCGTTCTCCTCGGTGCCATTGGAGGTCCCGTGCGTCTACATCCCCAAGCCTTCCATTCCCCTCCTACCCCGCACAAACACCAAAAACCAGCCTACTCACACATTGCGTCCAATAGAAATGGGGAACTGGTGCCGTGCGCCCAGAACAGGGTATCCTCAAGCTCCGCAAGGAGATGGGCACATTCGGCAACCTGCGGCCCTGCAACTTCGCAGCCCCCTCGCTGGTCGAGAGCTCGCCCCTTAAGGCCGATATTTGCCGCGGAGTCGACTTCAACATCATCCGTGAGCTGACGGGCGGTATCTACTTCGGCGAGCGCATAGAGGACGATGGTTCCGGATACGCCATGGACACTGAGCCTTACTCGCGCCACGAGATCGAGCGTATCATCCGTCTCGCCGCCAACCTCGCTCTGCAGCACAACCCGCCCCTGCCCGTCTGGAGCTTGGACAAGGCCAACGTCCTCGCTACCAGCCGTCTGTGGCGTAAGGTCGTCACTGAGATTATGGAGAAGGAATACCCTCAGGTCTCCATTGGTCACCACCTGATTGACTCTGCTGCTATGCTCATGATCAAGGACCCCCGTAAGCTGAACGGTATTGTTGTTACTAGCAACTTGTTCGGTGATATCATTAGCGATGAGGCTAGTGTTATCCCCGGTTCCCTGGGTCTGCTTCCCAGTGCCAGTCTGAGCGGTATTCCCGATGGAAAGAGCCGTGTCAACGGTATCTACGAGCCTATTCACGGTATGTGTTCTGTTCTCTTTATTACTTTCTGCCAGACTTGGTTCTGGGCATGGCTAATTGGTATTCATAGGCTCCGCCCCCGATATTGCCGGCAAGGGTATCGTTAACCCTGTCGCTACTATCCTGTCTATTGCCATGATGATGCAGTACTCCTTCAACATGATCGACGTGGCTCGCCTGATTGAGCAGGCTGTGAGCAACGTCATCGAGGCTGGTGTCCGCACCGGTGACATTGGCGGCACAGCCAAGACTACCGAGGTCGGCGATGCCGTCGCCGCCGAGCTGGAGAAGCTGCTCAAGTAGATATAAAGCAGCCTCTTCGATGTTTCTATATGAGATATGACTAGCATAAAAAGCTAAAAATATGAATACCCGTTTTAGATGTAACATGTATTTCACTAGCGCAAAAATCCCTAGTTAATGATGTTCACTCGCCGACCCAAACCCATGCAAAAAGAAAATGAAACTGGGTATCATGTAGACATCGTAACTCCCGATAAAGAAACCTCCGTTGGCATTTTGCAAGCCAATCAACGCCGGTATTTTGTTGGTCCTTGTAAAAAAAACCCCTGCTTATCGAATCACTGGCTCACCCATCCAATCCGGCTCATCTAGACCAGTTGTAGTAAAACCAGTGTCAGCATCTTCACTTGCAGTACGTCCCCGAAGATCATAGGCTCCACGCAGAGACGGGCGACGGCGCCGATCATCAGCAGAAGCCGAGGGAGCAGCGGCCATCCGACGACGACTATCATCACAAGCAAACACCTGGAACCCACGAACATGAGTATCCTTGCCGTTCTGATGGTTCTCCATAATGCGCATCTGGATAACCATAGCCTTCAGCACATTCCCAGAATAGGGATCATCCTCATCATCCTGGCTATCAGGCTCATCAATCTCATAAAACGGATCACACTCATCATCGTGTTCATGGTCAGGGTCATCACAGTTCCGGTACACAATTGTCCGCCGACGCATACTTGTAGATCGGCGTTTCGACTTCCCGGGGTCATTGCGCACCCACCCACCGTTTCTACCGCCGACGCCCTCCAGTGGCACGTCAACCCAGCCGCATGGTCCGTCGCCTTCCCAAGTTGCGAACTCGACGAGGTCGTTGCCACCCATCCCGGCTGCGAAAATCATCTTCGTAGGCGTGTAACTCTCGTCGAGCTCGAAATCGAGATATACACGCATACGCACAACGGCTACCAGTTTGAAGAAGTGGAGGGTTAAGGTGTGTGGTTGTGGTCCGTCGGATTGCCAGTATTGTGCCGGGGAAGGGTTGCGGAGGGCCGCGACGCCGCAGCCCGGCTTGGAGGAGGAGACGGTCCAGGAAGCGAGCGATGAGATCTCGCGCAGGTTGGGTGGTAAGGGGGAGGGTGATTTTTCTGTAGCGTAAGGACATTAGCTCACAATCTTGAATTGTAGTCACGAATAAAGTATGGGAGCGGAAATCAGTACCTCGATCATGCATCTCTTGGTCGGGGTCCTCTTCGTCGCCGAATTGGTCCTCGACTTCTTCCTCCAGTTCCTCGCCATCAATATCGGAGTCATCGAATTGTCCTTCAATGACCTGACTATCGTCGAAAGAATCATCGAAGTCGAGTGGTCCGTCATTGCCAAGCTCTTGCATGCTGTGCCCGCGCGGGTCGAAATCATCGTCAAAGTCGTCGTCATCCATCATTTGCGGTGGTGGCTGCTCTACTCTTGGTCTTCCAAATATTGTGAAGGGATTTATTGGTGCCGCCGGATGCCCCGCCACTTCGACTGGGTCGGGGGTGAGAACATTTGGACCGGTGGAGGGGGGTTGTTGTTGTCGATGAGTTGGGTTGGTGGGAGTGTGACGCGTTGGCGGGGTTTGGAACTGTGCTCGGAGATTCCCTGGGGCATTGGAGTCTTGGTTAGGTATTATGTCGCGTGGATTGGGTTGTCGGCGCAAGTGAGGCATGGTTGTTCCCATAAGTTGCAAGAGTTGATGTTTACGCGCAGATCGAGGGGAGCTCCATTTCCTTTTACGGTTAGCGCCGTTTGGAACCTATAAGGGCAACAGCATATTGAATACATCCATTCATTTATAACAAGAGTTGCCATGCGATATCCATTGGAATTATTGAGTTTGCTGTGTCGAGGCATTTATTTACAGTTTGCAGTTTGACCTGTGCTATTAAGTGTCTATGGATTTGCACCAGTTATATACGTATGCACTATTACCTATATCACCTGTGAGTTTATGTAGTAGTTATGGACCTACCAATAGATTAAAAGCCATTGTATTCCAACCACGTACATATATTCTTCGATGCATCTACCTTCAAGTGACGCATTTCAAATTATAAGAAGCTTCTATAAGATCCTCCCATATCAGCGGATTGACTAAGGAGTTCAGGGATTATCTACACACACAGACAGTCCAAATAAATCTTCTTTAGTGACAGCCTTCGATGGCTAATATCTATGGCCCCTTCTAAGGGGTACTCTGACCTGGTGAGGATGATAGCGGTCAACTCAGTTCTAACGGGGAAAAATGTGAGCAATAAACTATCTTGGCTCTTTAAATGTAATATGGGGTTTTTAATTCAGACTTGTCTTACTTTCATTCGTTATCCTCGCTCTTCTAGCTAGGAGAAAGGGTGATGATATATAAAAAGAGATGTCAAATGTCTTGAGAATCCACCTAGTTGCACTTGTATAACTAACTAGTGCAGCCGACCTACATAGTTACTTAGTCTTAACTAATACCTCAATACAACCCTAGGGCGCGTGGTCCACTTGACAACCAACTAGGGATCATGATAAGACACATATTAGAAGTTGACAGATCCAACGACAGTGTATTATTGCGACAAATTGGTATCCACTATAGCTCTCGGTATTCACATATGCCAAGTTCCATTCCAACGTATTCATCAATCGGTGTGTAACATTTCATAGTAGAGGTATCTAGCAGCAGCAGCAGCACTCGCAGCATTCGAAGCAAGCGATACCAGCACAGCTGTTGTAAAAATGTCAGCCAATATTCCTAATTCAGCAGTGCTTGGTTGAGTAAGGCACCGAGATAGCCTTGGAAGACTCACACTCCACAGCAGACTTCAGCACCCTCACCACCACCACGGAGTTCCATCTTCATGGACTCGGAGAACTAGAGGGTCAATTAGTTGTGACCTCAGCGAATAATAACCGGGAACCATACAGGCTGCTGGGAGACGACGTTGTTGGAAGACATGGCCTCGGCGTTGGAGGGCTGTTCCATTGCCATGGTGGCTGCATTCCAGGTAGGCTCCTGGGTGGGCTTGGACTCGTTGGAAGACTTGAACCAGCCGAACATTTTGGCAGATAATTTATGTATTTATGTATATGAAGAAAAGAGGGAGAGATGGTCGAAGAAGATGAGATGGGAAAGATGGAAGATAAAGGGGGAAAGAAAAGTAAATAAGCTGGGGTCAGCTGTTTTATTGAAATGAAACAAACGTACGGAGTATTACTAGTATCGACACTTATCAACACTCTTTTTCACTATGTTGTACGGGATACTCTGTATAGACCAGACCAGATAATTCAACCGAAGGCAACCATATTATTAGGCCTGTGGGGCTGACGGCTGAGGGCTGAGGTCGGACTCGGCACAAAGAGCTAATTGTGTGTTGTCCTGAAGAGAGGTTATGGTTAGTTAAATTAAATATCTCAGCTCAGTGACTTATTTAATATCTACAACATACAGTCTATAACATACAGAAAGAAATAGAAAAACAGAAACAGAAACAGAAACAGGAAAGCCAGGAAAAGATGGAAGACCTCGGGAAACACCAAGCTTTGAGTCAAGCTTTGCGACATCTTGGCATATTTTCCCCTCTTCAGCCCTATCCCCTTTTTTTTTTCATAACCGGCTAAGAAGTTAATGTATTGGTTTTCCATCTAAATAACAATCTATATTAAATTCAAACACACACTCAAAGACACACCGAAATAACCAGGATAAACCAAAAATCTTCAACAATCACCCTCAGTTCTTATCTTGAATAGAATCAATAGTCCCCCGCAAACTCTCCGATGCATCATATTTGTCCATGTACAACTCAACAATACGTAACGGAGCAGGATTATTCTCGTCATAATGCTCAGCGGGACCAAACGATGGATCATCGAGCAGCATATTCAACTCAGCCCTGGTCCGGACAGCATAAGTGCGAGCAGTATTCGGAGCAGCCTGGAAAACAGCCGGCAAAAGCTTAAAGTCCCATGGCTGGATATCGTTATACTCTGCATCCATGCCATGAATTATGCGCTCTATTGTATAGCCCTCATTGCAGACAATGAAAATAATAATGCCCAGTTTGCGGCGGACCATGGTGCTGACTTCTTGTGCGGTCAGTTGGAAACTGCCATCACCCGTTAAACAGATAGTCCGTCGGCACCGAGCGCCCGGGGACTGCTTCTCGTCTTCCCGCGCAGCGAGAGCCGCGCCCACTGCTGCCCCGACGGCATATCCAATGGAAGACCAAACGAATTGCGTTAGTGGAATTGCTCCGCGCGGGTATCGAGTCCATACTGTGCCATATGCCGCAGTTCCGATGTCTGCGGATATGATGTCGTCTTCTTCGAGCCAGGAAGAAATGCGTGGCCAGACCCACTCTTGGGTTAAGGGCTGAGACTTGTCGAGAATATTACCCTCGAAATCAGTAAACTCATCGCCATTCACACTTTCTTGCGGTGAGTTGGAGGAAGGTGAAATGGTGCCATGTATATCGGGTGTACCACCAAGCTTGCGGGGTGGTGTGGAGGCCGTGGAGGCCGTGGAGGCCGTGGAGACAGATCCTGATTGTTCTTTCTGAAGGACATTGCTGAGCCTTTCGAGCACAGCTTTCATACCGAGCCCCAAAATCCCTTGGTATTGCATTTGAATTCTGTGAGGTTCGAATTTGATCGTCTCGATGTGAGGCAAATCAGTCTTGAACCCGGCTGTGCTGAAATCCGTTGGACGTGGCCCAAGCACTAGAATTAAATCCGAGGACAGGACTTGTTCGAAAACAGTGGGTTCCGAGATCTTTCCTACGTACAAGCCGCGAAAGTTGATCAAGGTCTCGTCGATGATCCCCTTGGCCATTGGTGTAATAAAGCAAGGAAATCCCGAGCTTTCCACAAATAGCCTTGTTGTGTTCAAATTGTGCAACTTTCCGGCCAGACTCTCAACGATGATAATCGGATTCCGAGCCGCCCGAATACGGCCGAGAATCAGATCCATGCCATAATCCTCATCCGCCGCTGGATTGGGGCTGGGTTCTTCGAGACCCAGGGGATATTCAAGCGGAGATGGATCTACCTCTGCCTCGACAAGATCCACTGGGAAGCCAATGTAGACCGGCTTGCTGGAACAG